TAATGGGTCAAGAAAGAAAATATTGCTGTAGTTGCCAATACGAATGTCTTTCTAATGGAATTATTTCCATATTGCCTGGAAATTAACTACAATCACATGTATGATACATCAGAATTGCATTTTACACAAAATAATAATCATAAAACAACTTAAAAAAAAGACAACTGAATCTGGTACTTCTCCACATAACTCTTCTTTTCAGACTTTCTTCTTTTACATCTGCATTCAGAAAACCATGCTAAAATCAATTCACATACCTTGGCAATATTATTTGTCACCTCGCATAATATACCAAACAATCCCACTGGATCCATCATTACAATGAATCTTAATTTATACTGATACCATAAATAACTAAACTAATAAAATGTCTGTGGAGAAAATTCAAACATCCAACTCCTAACTGAAATTAACTTTGAATTCACTTCGTTGTGCAGGTACGGTAATCTGAAGTCAAAATAACCGTTAAAAAGTGACTAATTGCTCACCTTTTGTTTACGTTGAAATCACATCAACCACACTCACCTGACATAATCCAGGTCACAGTTAATACAACTAGAAGGTTATCAGAATCTAAATCAAATAAACATCTAGAGCATAAATCAACAGTTGTTATTATTTGAAGGGGCTTAATGAAAAAATATATCTGCTTTTTACAATTCAGTGACAATTAAGACTCTGTTAACCCTGCACTGTTTTTTCTTTAAAAAAACTTAATTACCTGCAGTTATTGTTTCAAGGAAGTTGTGCTGTTAAGATGTTGATTTACAAAGTATGACTACAGTAAGTAACCATAATACTGAAGCTCACACACAAATCAAACCATGAATAATGGTAGGTTAATGGGGTTTACTTATTTGAACAACTGCAACTGGAAAACAACATTTTCTTGTCCCTGAAAAACATTCCCTAAAATGAGAAAAATATTGGAGCCTACTGTATTATAATGATTTTGTTTTTCTTGAACAGAATGTTTTCTAATGGCTAAGAGAAATGGCATGGTTTACAAGCTCTCAGGACTTTGTCTTATAATGATTACGTTCTCCCAAAAAAGTCAAACAAGGACAAGACTTGAAAAATGCCATTGGAACTGAGCAAACTTGCACATGTTAACTTTTTGCTTTCACAATTAAAAGTTAATAATATCTTTTGTGCTTATGCAAAGCAATACAAATTTGCCGATTAAAGTGACTACTATACAAGTGTTGTTCTTTTTACTTTCACCCCAAAAAACAGTTCACAGACTAATGTACTGTTTGCATTTTGAAGTGCTTTCTTATTTGTTCTATTAGCAAAACTTAAGTTGGTTACATCAGAGAGGAATAAAGTCTATGTTTACAAAACAACTCGATGTGCATACATTGTACATTTCCCAACACTAAATGAAATATAAAAGAACCATTCTTGAACAATATTTTATGTACATTTAATTCACTCCATACATTATATCAGAGTACAACAATACATGTAAAATATTATCAAACCTCTGGCAGAGAGTCACTCAAATCCCTGTCTGTCCTGTTCCTAATTCCTGTTCCACTAGCTGTCCTTTTCCAAACAGTTTTTCAGGTGCAGTTTTTGTGATGCAGGACTAAAATAAATTCAAGCATCAGCTAACATTAACGCTCAACCTTAACATAACATAACCATATGTGGAAGGAGGCTTATAAATGGTGCATAAATCAGAAGGGATTGTACTAGTACAGTATGTACCAGGTCCACAGTTCACTAGGCCAGTAACGGAAATTTAGAAACCCTTGTAGATCTGAAACTCTAATTATTGACCTTTTCTCAACAAGTTAACAATTTTGTCTTTTTTTTATAACATACTGCAGGCTGACTGATTTTTCACAAAAAAAAAAAAAAAAAAAAAAAAAAAAAAAACTTTCTTGGTAATTGTATTCCCTTTTAAAAAAGAATTCCAGGGATACTGTAGGATATTCTAAGTACTGTACAGCAAGAACCCTCAGCAAACTCTGTAAACTGGCTGGAGTGATACTTCGGTTTTGTTTAAGATGTAACTCGGTACAAAAGTTGCAATCACAAAGTACAATAAATCTTACAAATTTTATAAAGTTGATAAAGTTCTACAACTTCAGTACATATCCAAATTTTACCAGTAGTACTGTACTAACCAGTTTAGCATCTCAAAACAATTATTTTGGTGAGCTTAAATTATATTAGGATGCTATGTGAACAACCTATGGTTAAAAATCTGTAAACATCTTCAGCATTAACTACCACAAAATATTAGGAGAAATTCAAAGGTACAAATTATTCAAACTTTAAGATGATTATGCCATAGCTTCTTCCTCATAAAGATTTTGACTGGCCTCTCATAATATTCATCTTTACAGACAATGTGCCTCTAAAATACCACTTATTTGTGCGTATTACTGTAACAACATGTAGAAGCCAAAAATCTTCACAAACAATTTACCTACAGTATTCTTCACAAAGACGGACAAAGTATCAGTCTCGATTATAGATCAGAGCTCAATCTGGCAGTCCTTATGGCAACTCAGCATCCCAGTTGTCATTAGCTGTATGATATCTGCATACAAATTACAGCACTTTACATAAGACTTGCTTTGACTAGCAACAAAATATCAGTCTGCCCTGAAACCCAGTCCATGGCCTTTTCAATTACCTGGCATCCAAGTTGTCATCAGCCATCTTTGGTTGCTAGGGAGATAAGGGGATAGGCTCTTTTCTGTCACTAATCACTGGATGTTTGAGATAATCACAATCTAAAAGAATCACGTTGGAATCAAGAGTGGATCAGCTCTTACTATTAATATAGTTTGATATGCATGCATAAATATAAATTCAAAGAAAGTTTTTTTAATTCATAATTTAATAATCTCTCCAGCAAAATTTTTCTCTGAACATAGAAATAAAATGCATACAAATACAGGTTCAGCGGAATCCCTCTTTAAACTACTTTAATATATATGACATTGTAAAGCGGGCAGTTATAACCGTACAGTGTAATCATATTCAGTGCAGTATTAAATTTTCTCTGATAAAGTAGCTGTATCTTTATTCATACCAAATCAATAGTTTTTCATCATTTTAAAAATGCCAAATATAAACTAGTATTCAATAAAGCTACTGAAGAAAATTGCAGGGTGTTTGATGCCAGTGATGTTTTTTGGTAGAGAAATGCTGAGAACATTCAAGTACTAAATTGTGTTAGATGTGACAAACAGATCACATTCTCCAGATACTGACAGGGGGATATGTAGTAAACTAATTAAGAGAGTACAACAAAAAATAAGGGCAGATGCCAAATCACAGTGTAACAGACCGATAGCTCGGGTTGATGTTTCTTTATTGTTATTATTCAAATATCTGCAAATATCTCCAAATATCTGCAAGATCAATATAAAAAAAATTAATTTTAAACAATTACATTAACAAAATTTACACTGACAAAAGACAGAACAAAGAAATAAAAATATAACAATGCCAAAAACACCATAAAAATAAATATATAAATTTAGAAATGTATGAATTTAAACTATGGATTGGTCCTTTATTAAATATAGTTAAACTTACCTGCAAGATCACTGGAATACCTATTTCAGTTATTCAACCTGTATCTCTGTCCGACTTTCAGGTGGGAATCAAATTTTATGGGGCGCGGTCTTTCAACCCGTGACCTCCACGTACACATACGAACATACACGATACACACCGAACACAATCACAGCTAACACAACAAACCTTACAACAGAATGCATGGTTGTGTTCATGCAGTGTCCACATCGTTGTGACGGACATACTCCTTTTCAGAGTTCTTTAACATGTAAACTTTTTTTTTTGCTTATTAATTAAAATTTATCTTAATTTATCTTATGTAAACATCACCTTTTGGCACTTAATTGTCTAGTTGTTGCCACAGTTTATTATGACAGCTACAAACAGCTATTTTTAGTGGTTATTTAAGTTAAAACTGTTCAATGAATGACAACACTGATATAGTGCCAAAGCATAATCAGATTTATTGCAGACCTTTTTTGTTCACATATTTATATCATATAAGGAGACTATATATATATATATATATATATATATATATATTATCAGCAAAAGTTGGTAATTTCCTTCAAGAACAAGAAGTTTAGGAGGATGGGTTCTAGGGAATATTTGAGAATGGTCCACAGCCAAAGTTAGGGGATGTGGGACTCTGATGAAACTAGACTAGACACTCTTCTTGTTCAAGTAGAAGGCTGGGTAGCTAAGGACTAGTATATCTGCCATGTCTTATAAAATTACATGTACAACCAACATAATGGAGCTAATGCCATAACCGCAAAGATTTTAAAACTTAAAACTAGCTATAAGTAAGTGGAACTCATACAAACTGCAACTGTAGCTTAAAGGTTTACAACTTTAAACTAGGAAATCAAACTCACACTGTCTGCATAAACATAATACAACTGTACCTTTAAGATTTTCCACTTAAAAGAAGTGAGTCAAACTCAAACTGTCTGTAAAAAATAACCACGACTACAGCTTTAAAGGTATACAACTTAAAACCAGTGAGTCAAACTCACAGTCTGCATATAATTGAGCTGCAAATGTAGCTTTTAAGATTTACAATCAAAACTATAGTGAGACAAACTCACAGTTTGCAAAAATGAAATTACACTCTAGCTTTAAATTTAGCTTTACAAATTAAAACTAGTGGGTCAAACTCACACCGTACACATGAAAAAAAAATGATCAATTATCATATTAAAATGTATAATTATAATTTAAATCTAGTAATTCATTATTCAACAGACAAAAATACAGAGAAAGACTAGATCACCAGCCCATCTACACTGCATATAACCAGCAGTGTACAGTGAACCTATTACCTACATATCCTGCATCTCAAAATGCAAAAAAAAAAAATAATAATAATAATAAATAAATAAATAAATAAAATAAAAAAATAATAAAATAATAATAATAAATAAAATAATAATAAAAATAATAAATAAAGTAACAAGGCAGCAAATCTGTTAAATGTACGGACATAAAAACAAAATTATAGCGTATCTACTACACATAACATCAAAAATGTATTACCAAGAAAGTTCAACCAAAATGGCCAAAATAAGACCATAAAGAATATTCAATCCAAGATACAAGGTTCCTTTTTCGTACCTGTAAACTGAAGGTTTAATCTGTCTACAGAGGTGTGGTTCAACATGGTTTCAAACAAAAATTGTCATGAAATCAGCTCTTGAAAAAAGGTCCAAAACCAAACTTCTAGCTTCTGCTTTAAGTGCTCAAACATGCAGAGACCAAGCAGGTCAATTACATATAATCATGAGCTATATAAATACTATCCAATCAGAGTTTGTGGCATGATGTCGCTCACTCACTTTTCCTATGAATGTTTTTATGTAAAGCACAGTGCTTATTTACAGAAACTATGATTGGCTTCCATGATCTGCAGTTATACAAGTGCCCTAAATGTTCAAAACAAAAGTTATATATCAGACGTGAGTGTACATACTAGTACATATACCGTAATTTTCATTATCTCTGATCTAAACAATATCCATGTTCAAGCGATGGGATTCTAAGATGGCCATAAAGTCTTGGCGAAGCTCAGGGTAAGAGCGGTATGTGCAAGGAAGCTCTATCAGAGGTCCACAGGTGTGGGCCTGTGGTGCCTTGGCCAAACCAACCATACGGTTGAAGGAGATATCAATGTGGCACATGCAAATCAGATCTGACCCGGTGAAGTACCTCATAAATTTCTGGAGCATGGCATTATCCAGGCCTTTGATAAACTGCTTGAGATATCCAAGGCATCAGATTTTTCTCTGTTTGCAGGTGTGCAGTTCAGAAGCTTAATAAACTTTCTTACATGCAGTTTGTGTTTTGCTTTCGTACATCAGTCGTAGTTTTTCCACATCAGGAAGGAGTATCTGCAACCATCCACATGCAGTTTCGGCCATTGCATCCATTGCATATTTTGGTTCCTGAATTAGTTTCTTGTGTGCAATTTGCAGAACTGTGTTGCACATGTCTTCTTTTGTGGGCATTCCTTTGCAATCCATACGGGTAAGCAAATCCAGCAAGTCATCTTGTTCATCTTCATCAAGGTCTTCCCCAGATAAAGCCTTGTCAACAATCTTGCGATCAGCCTCTGGGAGATACATGCTAAATGACTGCAGTAGCATATCTGATGAAACACTGGTTTCTCCGAGGATGAAAGCCGAAGAAAAGGCCAGTGATAACTGCAATGGGTAGACACCACAGTCGATGTAGCCTTTCAAAAGGATCCTGCCCACTGCCTTCCACTCCTCTCGACCATATCTGGGGGAAAGCAACGGCACCTTCTCGTATTCACCACATGCTGACGTGGAGAAGAACTCGTTCCAAAATGCACAGTATGCGTCTTTCTGTGCATCTCCTTGACCACCTGTTCCCCTCTCACCAATGAAGGTAACCTTTAACTTCGTACCTATGATGGTGTCCTCCATGAACATGGACAACATGTCTTGCTGTATGGAGGAACGGTGAAGGGCCAGATTGGTAGAATTTGTCTGTGATGCATCTGGTGTATGCTGAAAAGATGTTGTACCTGTAGGAAGAATCAAAAGGGATATTGTACAAGGTTTGACTGCAACAAATATACAGCGTTCATCACATGATAAACATATGGCTGTGCTCAGGGCTGCTCCAATGGGGATGCAAACTTGGGCATCAGTGCTAGAAACACAGAGTAACAGGGTCACCGTGGTAAAGAAAAGGACAAAAATATAGCTTTAAAATACCCTCAAGGCAATTCCGATCCAAAAATGAGATTTTCTATAGGGGCAATTTCAGACATGAAATAATGACAGGAGGATCTTAAATGTACAAGACCACTGGGTCATGCATGTTGGAATCATGAATGCCTCTATAAAACAGGGCTCGGTTTCATCAAGGCTGGATAGTGCTATCCTAAGCAGAAAACAAACAAAAGTGCAACAATCATGGATTCATGGATGCACTTACACCATTCCACATTTTCATATACATGTACAAAACTGACACAAAACATTAAAACAGCTAGTAAATATGTTTTCCTTTGAAGTAGTTTGTTTTTCTTGAAACATGCATATAAACAGATATCTCCTCATATCATAAATGCTTTCCAATTATTTGTATTTGCTGTATTTTTGTTTTTCAGCACACTTCTTGTTTGAGTAAAAATGTTATGTACAATACAAAACAAATTTTTTTCATTCAACTTGCATCTTTCTGAAACTCCAGAACAGTTAAATCTAGATGTTATGCTTATAAACCACACTGCTGCACTTTTATTGCATTGGGTATGGTGTGCTACCACCTGTAAGAAAAAGTACAACCTGGAGAATAATTATTAATAATATGTAACAGTGTTACAAAAATGAAACCTTGAATTTACAGTATAAAACAGTAAACAATCACAAAGTGTTAACATATATCAAATCTTACCAAAAAGGCAGTAATTAAAGTTATATTAATTAATGCCCAAATTGGCCAGATAATATCATAGCTTGGAGGACCTTAAATTTTTCTTTTTGAATTATGATTTTATAGACAAGAAAAAAAAATTGGGTTGTAATTGTTGCTGAATTATTTTATTGACATTATGGGTGTGTGTATGATATAATGAACAATCTACCTGCTAGTGGATGTGACAGTCCTATTGGTGAATGCACGTACCCTGCCCTAGGGGAAGTGCCCTCAGCTTCCTTCCTAAACACTGGCGGGTTATCACCAAATATTATACACATTATCTGTATTAAACCAAGCAGGTCTGACTGTGGCTGAAATAAATTATTTTGCTCGAATAGAAAATTATGACTAATTAAGCTGAATCTTTATAAGTAAAATAAAACAATTTAGATTGAAACATCATTATAAAAAGTCCATAGAATCACCAAAAATACTTAATTCTGACAAGTTTCGGTGGTCTTAGCACTGACATCAGTATTCCATTTTTCAGTTCATTATGACTGAATCTACTGGAATAAAAAAATAGTTTCATACATGTCTCCACTCATGAAGATATGAAAGATACACTTTTCCATTGGTATCTACATGTTGCCCTGACATGATCTGCATATTAGCTGTTGGCTTTACATACACCATTGGTGGGTTATGTGGATGGGTCTCCAACAGCCACAGACAAACTGGTATGTTAAAGGTAGTACCTAAATTGTGGAGAATTAGGACAGGTTTGCTATATGCAATTATGTTTAAAACTTGGAAAAAATGATCAAATGCAAACTATTTTTTTACTGGTACTGCTCTGTACGGTACTATATGTATTTTAAATATTGGTTTTACTGGCATATATACATGTATTACATATAGTTTACAAACAACAACAGTGAATGTGAAATTAGCTGATTAGTAAAAATAAAATAAAATAACAATAAAAAACACTGAAGGGCATGGCAGGGGCAACTACAGTAGGAGATTTGAAGAATTCTATACTTTTTGTCTAAAGTGACTAAAGTTCAATTTGACATGGAGTGTTACCAAAGAGTCAGTCAACCTATCTTAAATGTAAACCCATATTCAGACACAACTTCAGAAAATTAATTATTAATTATAACAAGGCAGCAAAGCTGTCAAATGTACAGACAAAAACAGAAAATAAAGATGCAAAAAAGGTCATTATGTAGAAATACAGAAAATGTGCAGAGCCTTGAGCGGATGAGAGTTAAAAGTCACAAATGCAAGTGTTTGAGAAAAAATTGTAAAGGAAAACATAACAAAACTAGAAAACCACCGAGAGTGCAGACCTCTGCCAAGGCAGCAATTGTTGATTATTATTGATTATTGATTGATTATTGAGCCAGACAACCACTAAAAACTATTCATTGTCCTCTTTGGCCCAATTCTGACAGTTCCTGAAAATTTCAGCAAAATCGATCCATAACTTTTTTGAGTTATGTTGATGACAGACAAACAGGGGTGAAAATATAACCTCCTTGGCAGAGCCTGAGGTAAATATAATTCCAACGAAGCTGCTATTCAAACTTTTAATCTTCGATTACATTACCTGCATAATTATCACTGCTTCCTTATTATTAATCTAGCAGAGAGCTTTTGGGAGTTTACAAGGAAATATCAACAAGTGTGCTTTATGTAATCTCATTTAATGGCCTATCAATTAGGCAAATGACTTTATAACTCAGAACTTAGCTAAGTGATACCCGAGGGGTATTTACAGACTGACCCTCTCAAAGGTCTTTCAGGCCCATAACTTAAGTCACATCTTAAGAAAAGCACAAAACAATAATGCACAAAATAGGAGACTACCAATTCTGATGCAATAATACATTATGTTTTACTGCACAGTCAACATCAAATTTTAATTATGCACAACAGGTGCAGTAACACCGACGAAAGTAAAAGCATAAGGCTTCAGGGCCATCAAGTTCAAGAGTTCAAGTTTATACTTAGAAAGTGTCAGAATGAGAAAAATGAAAATTTCACACAAAATTGCATAAATTCAATAATAAATGATAACCCAATTGACCTGGCTTTCTAATTTGAACTGCATGCCAATCCTAAAAATCATACTTGTAAGTTAAAAATAATAATAAGTAACACAGTTTTCTTTTCATAATGTTTGCAGTAGCAGTGCAAAAAGATTGTTGTCAATTTTGATGTATCATTACATAATAAATTATAGAATAATTATCACCAATTTTTGATTATTGACTATAAATAAATAGCATGGACATGTGGAAAATTTGATTACCATTCGGCTTCATGTCCATGGGAGCTCCGAGTCCCACAATGAATACGCCAAAAAGATAATGAATATTTCACTCAAATGTATAACTTCCAGAAAAAGAAGCCAATAAGACTGCTTTTCCAACTCATTCTGCATTTTAGTCCAGTGTTTCTTTTTTAAAGGTTTGACAGTCATAAGTAACACGGTTTTCCCATAATGGTCATCATGGCAGCAGCACCAAAAATTGTTTTCTTCTAATTTGATGCAACATTACATAATGCTTAACAGCATAATGACCATCAATTTTTAATAATAGAATATTAGTAACATGGACATTCAGAAAACATGACAAGCAAAGGTCATGGAACTTCAAGTCACACCTTGAAAATGCCAATAAGTGAAAAATTACATTTTCACAAAAAACTGTTTAACTGCCAGAAAAAATTACCAAACAGACTGCATTGCCTACTGAAGCTGTATTTTAGCCCCATGTTTCTTTCCTGTAAGTTTGAGAACAGTAAGTGACATGGTTTTTCTTAAATGGTCATCATGGGAGCAGTGCCCAAAATAGGGATTTCTTCAAATTTTGATGCAATATTACATAATGTTTAACAGCATAATGACCATCAATTTTTAATAATAGAATATTAGTAACATGAACATTCAGAAAACGTGACTAGCAAAGGTCTGCAGGCTCATGGAACTTCAAAGTCACACCTTGAAAATGCCAATATGTGAAAAATTAAATTTTCACAAAAAAATGTTTAACTGCCAGAAAAAATTACCAAACAGACTGCATTGCCTACTGAAGCTGTATTTTAGACCCATGTTTCTTTCCTGTAAGTTTGAAAACAGTAAGTGACATGGTTTTTCTTAAATGGTCATCATGGGAGCACTGCCCAAAATAAGGGTTTCTGCAAATTTTGATGCAATATTACATAATTATCTTTATCAGTTTTGTAAGTTTCAAGCCAAAAAGTAAAATGGTTTTTCACTTATCATGTTATCGGTGCTGCATATATGCTGAAAAAAGGGAAAAAACAGCATAACTTCCCTACAAGTCACCCGATCATGCTGATTTTCGAACTTGACGTGCGTATTATGAATATTCATCAATTCTGTAAGTTTCAAGCTGAAATAAAAAACACTTTTCCAATTATCGTGTTATCGGTAAAAGTGCATGGCGACCGCGAGGACGGCGACAACAGACGCAGGTGATGGCTATATGTACAGACACATCTGTGTCTGTACATAATAAAATTGAGTACTACATGTACGTGCAGAAGCATGTTCAGTAACTATTTGGAGCTGAATCTACATGCATAACAATATTACCTCTATATGTAACTGGTATGGTTCCTTCAAGACAAAGCAGCTCTTTTCTGTTTCCATCATTAAAGACTACAAAAAGATAAATGAAAATTTGTAGCATGGACAAACACAATATATACTCCCTCTCCAAAACTGGTTAATACATGAAGTCAACACTTAAAGTTCATCTTACAAAAACTCATATATCAGTCTCAAAAATCCTCACCAAAGCTGTCAACATTAGGTTTCAAATCCTTGAAATGTGATAATGCTTGCAAAATGTCCCTTTTTGCTAGGTGTTGATATTGGTACTAGAACAAAAAGTATATGGCATCATAATATATAATATTATATGCACCTACATGTATAAGTATCTGACACATTTCAATTTAACAATTACAGTACAGTCATACATGTACATGTACTATCATATACAACAAAAAACCACGCTGGGCTGTCACCTTGATTGGATAGTAAACGATTGTCGTAAAATCGCTAAATGATATTAAAACTGGGCGCATAAACTTGAAAACCACCTTGGACAACCTTGGACTGCCACATTAATCCAATACAATGCAAAAATAAACTAAACAAGTGGTTAAAGCCTTAAAACCGAATGTCGTAAAGTCCTCATATACAGTACCTCCATAGAGACAATAAAATAGAGTAAGCTTGTGAAACAAGATTCCACAATTTTAAACATAATAATCGAAATAAAATACTGCCAGGCATCGGAGTGGCCTAAAACTTGGCACGCTTACCGCAAATACTGCAGGCTACATCATCCCATCGCTTGTTTGTAAATTCCGTGCATGGCATACGCACAATCAAACCGTAAATCGGTCCTCTCCACAATCCAATTCAGGTAGTGACGTAACCGCAGAGGTCGCATTGTCCAATGGCATGGCTTCTTTTTCGTAATGGGAGGTTAGAGTGGACCGACTCAAGCGTCAAAGGCGGAATTTGGATTTACGGTTTGATTGTGCGTATGCCATGCATGGAATTTACAAACACGCGACGAGATGATGTAGCCTGCTGCATTAGCGGTAAGCGTGCCAAGTTTTAGGCCGCTCCGATGCCCGGCAGTATTTTATTTCGATTATTATGTTTAAAATTGTGGAATCTTGTTTCACAAGCTTACTCTATTTTATTGACTCTATGGAGGTATATATATATGGGGACTTTACGACATTCGGTTTGAAGGCTTTAACCACTTGTTATAGTTTATTTTTGCATTGTATTGGATTAATGTGGCAGTCCAAGGTTGTCCTAGGTGGTTTTCAAGTTTATGCACCCAGTTTTAATATCATTTAGCGATTTTACGACAATCGTTTACTATCCAATCAAGGTGACAGTCGAGCGTGTATGTACATGTATCTATCATGTGATATGTATTAACACCTGAGTGATCTCTAAACTTTCATGAGACACAAATATATACTAACTTTGGAAAGAGCATTCCTGAGATAAGCATCGTTTCCCTGGGATCCTGCCATTTCTGAAGTACTACACCTGTAGTATGACCTGCTAAATGTAAGAACTCTGCTTAAAATGATGTGTCAAAACACCGTCAACGTTTTCTATGTGGATCAATAACGTCGACAAGAATATTCCACGTCACTGACGTCAGATTAAAATGACGAATCATTCCTGTTAGTGGCAAGATCAATTTCCCCCTGAATAGACTCTCTCTATTGTCAAAACCACTAGTGTCCGAAGGTTCATTAGTCTGAATGCAATCTTATTTATATCGAATACTAAAACTGTTTAAGATTCGCAAAACCTACCTAGTTTATGTTCCAACCTAATGGAGAGAAAGCTTAAATCCGTAAAACAATTAAACAACCAACACTGCGATTTACGTTTCTGGCAAAATTCCCCGAAAAAAGTACCTGCTTAGCCTGTTTGATAGGGGAATTCCCAACATTCTCAATGACGTTAAGTTAGTGAACTTCCAATGCAAACTTGTCTTTGGACAAGTTTTGGAAAGATAACCAATGTACATGCTCATGTTAGAAAAAAATATAACCGAAAAACTCGACATAAATCAAACAGACGGAACCAATTTAACAACTCAATAGTCTTCCGCACCACTTTCGCTTTTTTTTTTTTTTTTTTTGTGTAAAATCCCGCCCTTTGCGTGTGTACAATGAAAAGACATCATTGGTCAAAAATAACTAATACGAAGTAATAAAAACAACATGGTGGCTGTATATTCTCCTGGTATGACAAGTGGGTGGATTTAAATATTCTCATTTACAAATAAATTTTATTGCATGTATTATTTAGAAACCAGCTCTGCAGTTATTATTGACCAATAGTAGTCGTCGGAGCTTACATGCCCGTATTATTGACAAGATGGAAGGCAGGTGAGAAAACAACATAATCGCAATATTATATAAATGTTTCAGGAAACGGGGGGTACGATTAAGAAAATTGAAATGCATATGGAAAGGAGAATCCTTTACAGTTTCCCTGAGTAATAGAGGGGACAATTCGATTACACGAGAAAGTTTAGAATAATGGTGGAACAAAGAATACAGACCGAATATAGACGTGTCTCGATCCATCGATAGACGACCAAAGACGTTGAATTCTTGTCGTTTCAGCTGCTTGTTTCAGCTGCTTTCTTCTCTTATTTTGTCTGGAATGAAATTTTTCATCAAAAGTGGAAATTGGAATTGGAGACGGTTATGTGTTGTTTATTTAAGTGCAACTCGTTGACACGTACAGACAATATTGCCCCATTGGCATTGCACTGTTGAAATTAGTCGAACCAGTTGGCTTGAGAATGCTACAATTCTTTTCAGTCAAAGATAGATATTTTGAGATTCTACAAAAATGGATGCATCTACAAAGAGCAGTGTGTATGTTCAACTCCTAAGATGAACAGGCAATCCCTACTTTAAATGTAAAGGTTCTTTTGATAGAAAAATATGATCAGAGACAATTCTTTGCTAAATATATTTTCAAACTGCAGATTTTGAAATTGTAAGCATACGATATGTGTAATTCATTAAATATACAAAGGAATTTCAATTTTTTCTTAGAAATAAGGCTTCGTTCACATGCAATGTCTATTTTCTAAATTCTATTTTCTATTCACGCTATCTTATGATCACGGTCTGTGCCCTGAATATCCCGCCGCGTAATTACTGGCAGCGCGAGCCAGTTACTTATAGTAACTTATAGAGATTTTAGAATTAATAATATAATATACTGGGTCTGAAGATGGGGATTAGTTGACTGTACCAGTGGCAGCAACAAGATTTCAGCAATTTTTACATATGTCAGATCCTCCCTGGAAATTCCTTTGGGAACAAATAAACTCAACTAAGTCAACAGAGCTATTCAGAACATGCAAATGTGTGCATGAATAAATGATTTAATGTAATCACATGTTCAGATATGTTTTAATGGAGGAGGAGCAGCACAAATACATTGGAACCTATGATATTGATTAATCTTTAAAAGCTCCAAGTTGCTTAAATGAACAATTAAATGTATTACAATTCACACATTCTGAGAAGTCACAATTCTGGTATAATGACATAAAAGGGATACTTTGTCATTTTCATTTATTATTGAGTAATTTATTGACATTGTTTATTTTTAGTATGTTGAATCTGCAGTAAAAGGAGAAGTTTCATTTTATCCGGAGAAGATATATTAATACATTAAGCATTGGAGTAGGCAGCAGTCAATCATGCAGTAAGTGTTAATCAAACCTTGAACAACTAAGAAAGAGCTGATTTCATTCTGGAAAATGCATTTCATGTCTTTACTATCTATAATGACTACTAGTAAGTATACCACTGATAACATAAAATATTAAAATCCATTTTCTAAGCCACAGATTTTCTGTAACTACATGTTATAATGGCCATTGATAAAAGTATATCATTCAATAAAAAAATAAACCAGTGACTCAAAAATAATTATGTTATGTAAGATATATCTTTCATATTATCCATCACTTGAATTATACAAAGAATTGAGATGGTTGCTCCTCTTGAATGCTTCAGTATTACCATTTTGATTGTTGAATAATTAAGTAGTTAATGGTATATGTGAGAATTAACTGAAAGCAGTCATGCAGGTTTTTTCTCTGAAATATTGAAGATGTGTGTGTGTATAAGTTCAATTTTACATTTATTGCCTGGTCATGTGTTTCATAAGCAATTGTAAATATTTAATTTTCTGTAAGGTATCAAATCAAATTGTTTAATTTTCATAAGCTACTGACTACGTTTTTGTTTTGAAACAAATGTTTTCTCATATGAAAAATGCAATTTGACATTTATTTTGCATGACTGGTATTGGCAATTTTAATCACGTGGAATTAAATGCTATGAAATATAGACTGCAGTCATAATGTTAATGTACAAGTTGTTGCTATTTTAGGGAAAACTTGTAAGAATGTGATTGATGAGGAAAATTTTTTTCAAAAAAGTAATGTCTTGCTGTCATTTATATCCATTTCTTCAAAATGTAAGTGTTGAATACAATGTGGAATTGGTATTTCTTGTTTTATTATTTGAAACTGTTTAGTGGCATTCAGTTGGTTTTTATGTCAAAAATTTGACTTCAAATGCATCTTTAACGTTAAACCTATGTTTTGCATCATTATTTGCTTTTATGTCTGTACATTTAACAGCTTTTCTGCCTTGTTATAATTTCCCAGAGGTCAGCAGGGTTACTCTGGTCTTTCTTATGTCTGTACTTATGACAGCTTTTCTGCCTTGTTATAATTTCCCAGAGGTCAGCAGGGTTACTCTGGTCCTTCTTATGACCGCTGGGTGGAGAGGACGGACAATTCCACCTTCCAGAGGATGAAGGAGACGTACTGGACCACTAAACAGGCCGTGAAGAGGAAACTGGGGAAGAAGGAAGATGAACACATTGTGGCTTCAGATGCCGAGCTTGATGCTAAATTAGAGGTGAAAATTTTAAGAATTACAGAATGTAATTTTAAGCTTACAGAATGTAAAACTAGGTGGTAAACTAAGAAAACTTAAATTGTTTACTGTACTTTATATTGAGGTTTACTTTTCTGCGTGAGAAGATTTAAATGCTAAATATTACTGTTTAATTTATACTTATCCTTATTCAGGTGTTCAAAGCAGTGCAGCATTCCTGTATGGAGCTACTGAGAGTGCTGGAGAAATATCAAGACAGATTATGTAGTAAGTATGCCTGTTTAAAGAAACTGGTACTTGATATCTAAATCATAGAGAAAGCATTTGCAAAGACGTCAAAATGTTTTTGTTCATTTGACAGTTACATGGAAAATAAAATTTGTTCATTTGACAAGTTCATGAACAATTAAGTGATTGGAGAAGATCCTGTGATTTCAAATTCTGATTGTGTTGCAAAAGTCATCTTCAACCCAATGATTTATCACTGGAATATCTAGTAGCTTTACAGAGAAGAAGATAAATTTCCGTAAGTGTTGCCATCTGCCAAGAGACAATATTTGATATGCGTCTCTTTTGTAGCATTATCCCAGGAGGAAAGTGCAACTGGGAGGTTCCTGAAGAATGAGAGTGGTAAGGACAAGACAAGGGCTGGCAAGATGATGGCTGCCGTTGGCAAATCTCTCAGCTTTTCTTCACAACAAAGGTAACTTACACTTACCTTAATGGGCTTTCATTGTGGCAACAGTTCACAGTCCTTTAAACAAAAATTATGTTGTTCTAGCACAGTTTCCTAAATTACACATTGGGCATGTTTTAATTTATTTAATTTATTTTTTTTTCTGAATATTGAATTGAGCATTACTTTTACTGATACAGAAAATGGAATTGCTTGAAAAACCCGAGTATGGCAGTAGAAAATGTAATCATTCAACAAAACATTCCAGGTTATCTTTGCGCCCATCTTTGGTGCGACTGTACCAAGAGGTGGAAACCTTTCGTTACCGCGCCATATCAGACACCCTCGTCACCATCAACAGAATGGAGGCTGCCAGGACAGAGTACAGGGGCGCCCTCATGTGGATGAAAGATGTGTCAGAAAACCTGGACCCTGATACATATAAGCAACTGGAAAAGTTTAGAAAGGTGCATTTTAAAAGAGATTTTAGGTCTGGCTTACAAATTTAGTTATGACATTTTTACATACAAGATAACCTTTAGATATAGAATTATGTATATTTTGAATGCTGGTTTTATATTTTTTTGGATCTTCGAATTTTGAATTGGCAGGAAAAGGACTTGGGATTAATTTATGATTTTCATCATACTCTGGTGGCAATTTTTCCCCTCTCCCCCCTTTCAAATGTTTTTTATGACTGTTATCTTTATTATTGTGCAACCTCTTATCTCAGGTGCAAGCTCAAGTGAGGAAAACTAAGGCCAAGTTTGACCGTCTGAAGGTGGACGTGATGCAGAAGGTGGACCTTCTGGCGGCCAGTCGGTGCAATATGTTCTCCCATGTGTTAGCCAACTACCAGTCCACACTGTTGACTTTTTGGGACAAAACTGCCAGAACCATGACAGCAGTGGCTGAGAGTTTCAAAGGATATCAATATTATGAATTTAGTATGCTAAAGGTACTGTAGCCTGCTGGATGGCAGTGCTTTAAAGGATCCATGCTTTTGGTCACTCGTGCATTATTATTTAATTTAGGTCTAAATCAAGTAATGTCTTGTACCAAGTTTATGACAGAGCTCACAGTTTCTGTAGCAGTAGTGTGTGTTATTGTGCAGTTTATATTTAGTTTAACTTATATGGTCTATGTATCACTGAAGAGTTATCTATTACTGAATTTAGTCACTGTATATTTTCTAGCATATGGAAATTGCTACATCTAGAATGCCATTAAGCCATTTTATGATCTGCCTGTTTTCAGGAACTGACGGAAACTAGTAAAAAGCTTGCTGATGAAACTAATAACATGGAGGCTGCAGACAGAGACATTGATGAGTGGATCAAGAAAGAGGGGTAAATGATTTTCATCATCTCATATTAAGATTTATTTTCATTTGATGTTGACTTCACACTTGTGTCGAACTAGTAGCTTTTGAAACCTCTGATTATTTCAATTGTCATCCATTCTAGTTAGTTTATATTGATTTAAATGTCTGTTTTGTGATTTTTTGTAAGCATTTTGAATTTGAATAGTGGTAACTGCTTGTAAATTTTATTGTTGTTATTGTTTGATCAACATTATGTGTGCATTTTCCGTAGAGTATCCTTGGCACTTCATTAATTTCCTACTAATACTAGTGAAGCATGGTAACCCTGCTTGCTGTTTTTGCTGTGTAGATTCTTGTTGTGGAAGAGCTTTTAGTTTAGTTGCTGTGGCTGGTAAAGGTAAGGGTGTTTTCTGTCACAGAAATTGATAATGCAGGGATGGGGATTTAAATCCTTTTCATGTGTTAAGAAAGTTACAAAGTATTTTTATGGTGTTTGTTCCAAAATGGGAATTGGATTTTAAGTAAATGTGTGTGCATGTGTGCGTGCATGAGTGAGTGAGTGAGTGAGTGAGTGAGTGAGTGAGTGATGAGGGGGGGTCCTTTTATCAAAATAATTTTGATTCCCCTCTGTAATGGCTTAACAATAAAATCCATCAGTAGCAGGTAGAGCTCTTGGGATGAGTTTTTCCTTGAATATTTACTCATGGCCTTTACTTTTTGGTGCTGGGAAATAGAATTGCCTTAAGCTTTCAAAGGGATTGGTGTCTGACAACTATCTGGGCAACAGCAGACTGATATAATCCTAGTCTGTGTCTGCAAAGGTTGGCTTCAGCTTACGCTACATATACTATGGACTGTGGCTTGGTATGGCCTACATTAGAGAGTGGAAAGTTGTGTAGCCTCTTCAGTCACCATGAATTAATACCCTGAATTATGTGAAATTAACAGTAACACAGAACTAACACATGGGAAGCATTCTGGGGGTAACAGAAAGGCCACTGCTCGTCATGGCACTGGTGGAAGTAAGCACTCCAGAACTGTGGACCGCCAGAAACCTGAAACTGATCTTGCCCAAGTTACTGCTGCCACTAACACCTCAGATAATGAGGAAGAGGCCACTGATGATACTACTAACAATACTACTCAACAGAGGTATGACTTTGTTTCTTTTTCATTTCATTGCTAACATAACCCTGGTTTGGTCCCGTGTTGACTAAAGTGACACCTGTTGGTGATAAATATTTTGGTAAATGCTCTCTTTTAAAGTGATGATGAGGAATTAGAGCTGACTTGGAAAAATCCAATTCCTGAGGAAAATGAGCAAAAGAAAGATTGCACAAATCCAGAGACAGATGACTCTCAGTTAATAGATCTCAGTGATTTTTCAATCAGTGCAAATGATAGAGACTTATTAGATAATCAGAATCAAGGTGCTATGAATTCAGAACAATCAGACCAAACAAGAGAAAAGCAAAGGTAGGTGGTAAAGAAATGAATAGTAATGTTTATTTAGTGTGCATTTTTTTCATTGTTGTATCGTAATGCTTAAAATAAATCCCTGGACCTGTAATGTATGGCTTCTGTTTTAAACTGGTTTAGTTAATTTGCATGTATGTGATGTCTTGCAAATTGAATGAAATAACTTGCTGCTGCATGTTAATGAGAAGAAGCACCAAATGTCTTATACTGGTTTTGATTAAATTTTTCATTGAACAGATTTAATCTTTTTTATGATCAAGTTACATGCTGTGGTAATTATTTGGAACTTCATGTTAAATTCAGGAATTTGCTTGTTAAAAGTGGTGGACAATATTATTAAGTTTAGAAAATACTGGAAAAAGTGCACAACATAAAGACAGATATTATACCATCCTATAGGATGTGTGGAAAACAAGTGGGGAAAAAAAAAGAAACAAACAAATAGAAAGATAGAAAAAGAAAGAGTCAATTTCTTAGTTTAAATTCTGGATGTCTCACAGTTCTGCTTTATATTTCCCCCAGTTTAATAGACTTTCAAGATGAAGTAGAAGAGGCTATAGAGAGTAAAGTGTACAGAGATGATCCTGACAGTCCAGAACAACCACCACCTCCTGAAGAGAGGGGCAAGCTAGAAATGTCAGCTTTACCAAGACTACCAGGTAAGAGTCAGATCTTTTACATATTTATTTCCTTGTCTGTTGAAAGGTGAGATCTTTTCAGGAGGAGACAGATACATGATGACCCAAAACTGAAATGGATTGGTTTTGTTTTATTGAGGATATCAAGCTCTAGAAGTAATATTAATCTTTATCAATTTACAATGGTTGAATATGCCAGTATTTTTCCTAATTTGGTCTACATTCAAGATGTCAGCTATCTGTAATTTGCTATAGAAAAGGTAAAACACATTAGTTTGTCATGAGACTGCTGTCAGACTTTCAGCAGTTGGGTAAGAGCAGTGAAGTCAAATGAATCATTGGTAACATAATAGTAAGTTTGCCATGTCTGACAACAGGATTTTTACAGTAGAAAATGTTAAAGATAAAATAACAAAAATATATTAAAGTTTCCGGAATGAAAAAGTTCTTCATGATATCACTGGTACTAGTTTTATGGCAGAAAAAGTTAAAGCTAAAATGATGTATATTTTAAAATAGACCAATAATATCAATTACATTTATTTAGCTAAAATAAGAAAAGCAGCGGGAGGAAGTGGCGATGAATCTCATGCCAAGACAGCAGAAGAAAATCAAAATGGCAAAGAACAGGATAACATTATAGACTTTGGTGAAGAAGAAGAGACAGCTGAAGAGTTTGACTACAGTGGAAAACTAATACAGTCTTCACAGAAACCACAAGTCCAAAAAGGTGGGTGAGATTTTAGGATTTTTGTCTACATGAATTGTTTTAGGTAATATTTTAAACCTGAGAAAAATTGTAAATTTGGGGTGATAGTTTAGAAGGTGGAGATAGAAATTCATAAATGTTATCACCATGGCTCTTAAAGGTGAAAATAATTATTATAAACAGAAAAGCAGAATTTACTCAATAAACTTTAGAGATAAGGATGATGATCATATACAAAAATTTATTTACCACAATACAAAGTTCTTGTGTTCTTAATTTTGTAAAAATTACACCAAGATATTGCAGCAACAAGTATTATTGCAAACAGCAGGCGCAACCAAAATATGTTATTGTAAAAAAAAAAGAAAAGAAACAAACAAACAAATGAGCAATAAGAGTAAAAACATCTGTAACTTGAATTAATATGCAGCCATGTTTAGTTCAAAAATCATACTTCAAAACCATTGTTAGAAGAACGCTTCATTTGGAAAGAACACGAACTACATGTTCACATTCAACATTTATGTTTATAGGAACAATTATGGCAGCTGTGTGCAATTTTTGTTCTCTTGATGAGATTGCTATGAAAACGCTTAACTTGAAAAGAAAAGATAAACAACAGATTCTCAAACAGCATGAAAGTTCCAAATGTTATTTATGGCAATAGTTTTCTTTCTGACTAGCTTCACAAATACTTGAAGACTTTAACCTTGCCTAATGCTTCTGTAACAACCAGCTCTCCGCGGTGGTTAATCCCTAACGCCATAGGGTGCCACAGTTTGTCCAGCTTGGTCAAGATAAACTTCTTGAACCGTCCATCGGGCAACAGCAAGTGGACCCTATGATTGAGGTTGTCTGCCACGAAGATGTATCCGAAGGCATCTGTGCACACACCGTACGGTTCCAGAATCTGATCCTCCTGGATTCCGTAGGTGCCATGCTCCCCGATCAGCTTCCCCTCCGAGTTGAACACTTTGATATTTGGAGCGGCCCAGTCTGTGACTATGATGGAGTCATTGCTGGTGACAGTCACGTAGTACGGGTCAGTGAAGTAGTTGTGACTGTCCTCCTGTTTGGCTGGGATGGTCTGGACGATGTGTCCCGTGTCTGGATCATGGATGGTCAGTCTTCTCATCCCACAGTCCACCACTATCAGCTGACCCTTGCTGTTGACGGCAATTCCCCTAGGATGCTTGAAGTGGCTATGAATGATCGTGACCGCATCCCCCTGAGGAGAGAAAATCTTCACATCTTCCTTCTCATTGTCTGTCACAGCCAAGTTGCCGTTCTTCATGATGGCGATGTCGTACGGACACCACAGGATGTTTTTGCCCATCCCGCCAAAGTCGTTGAGGTACTTCCCCTGGGAGTTGTACACCTTGATCCTCTTGTTGTCCCTGTCCACCACCAACATGTCTCCCTTCTGATTGACAGCTATACCACTGGGCCAGATCTCCTTGTGGTCGTACACACCTTTGCATTCAAACTCCAGCTGTAGCTCAGGGCTGCCAGATATGTTGGGTAACACAGAGGACATGGGAACTTTAATGTTGCTCAAGGATCCAATATTAGTTTTCCCCATTGATAGCCCACACAGTTCTGCCTTACCAAAAAGGATTTCCACATTCTCCTTAGTGGCATTGCCTCCTTTGAACTCAATGGAGAGAGAGCTTTTAAGACCGTCAATCTCCAGGTATATAAGTTCAGTTAGTCTCTTGGTGACCTGTTTTTGCAGGTGCAGGATCTCCTCCCCTTTCCCAAACTGTACCAGCTTCTGGAGGTCCTGATCATGGGACTGCAGAGAGTGCAGGGTGGCCGTGATGGCTTCGCGCTTCGATCTCACATGCTCCAGCTCGCTATCGCATGCATCGTTCACTTCCTTCAGCAGGCCGTTCTTGTGATCATCTATCATTGCCTTCAGGGTTTCCGCCTGTTCTTCAATGGTTTCGTTAGTCTTTGTTCTCTTTTTGTCCAGCTCGGATGTGTATGTCTCCATATAGTTCAGGTACTCTTCTATGCCAGGGATCTTATTCTTTATAGTGTCCAGTAGGGTCTGTATGCGTGCACCATACTGCTGACCAGCCTCCTGTAGACTGGACCAAGTGTGGCTGTCGTGGGCGTGGACCTTGCACTCACGGCAGACCAGCTGTTGACACTGGGTACAGAACAGGGTGATGGGTTCCTTTTTGTGCTGGGGACACTGGATCTGCTGGTTTGACCTTATATCCTCGTCATATTTACCTGTAAAGAAGTGAAGACAATTTTTATTTCACTGAGTAAATAATTAAAAGTGAGGTCTTATAACATGTCAGTTTAGTATAATTCACAGTTACCAGCTATAGGGCACCTCTGCAAATATAGATTGAGGACACAAATTATATGTAGATGGTAATTTGATCAATAAATTTGCACCGAACCACAGGATATTAATTTGGAATGAAGGTAACACTGCTGCTAGATAGTTAATGATAAAAGGCTTTCTGTGTGTACCATATGAGATATATACATGTATATTTATATTTAGTGTTATAAAATTGTATAAATGTATAAATTCTCTGAAATAACTGAATCCCATGACTACTATAGACATAGGCATAGAAAGTCCGGATTAAGATTTATACGTTAATTGATCCGTACCCAGCTGCATCTCTTTGAAGGGTGCCACTTTGTGGTTCCTGGTCAGCTTGGTTCTCTTATGTGCCTCTGTGCAGTGGTCACACATGTCATCCTGGCACTCCAGACACCTGGCCGTGGCCGCCGCCTCCTTCTTGTCAAACTTACAGTATTCACACTGCTTTGGCTGGTCGTCCTGGCAGTGGCAGATCTCCAGCAGGTGCTCCAGGAAGGGGTTGGTGTCCAGTTTCTTGACATCTTCTCTGGAACGCTGGATGACTTCTTTGCAAACAGGACAACAGAGGGTGTTAGGAGTAGTGGTGGTTGACGCTGGAGAACCCTTCTTGGTGGTTTTGGTGTTGGCGGTCTTTCCACCTGCATTTGTTGTGACTAGTTCTAGGATGCATGTTCGACAAAATGTGTGCAGGCACGGGAGAATGCGCGGGTCCTTGTAGGTGTGATTGCAATGCCTGCACGACACTATGTTTGTACGGACCAAGTCCAGGAGAGAGTAGATATTGCTGGTTGAGCTGCCTGTTGTCATCTTTGTTGCATTGTACTTGTACTTCTACTTCCTGTGAATGAATAAAAAAAGAATAGAAACTGAGATTAATATTGCATATACTCACAAAGAAAATGGTCTCTCTGCCAACAGTTTATCAGTCATTACTACATGTATAGTCCATGGTGTAGTGCACAATGTGGTGTTTATTGATCTGAGCCCACACTTTCACCAAAAGTCAATGTAAGGACTGGTAGATCAATGCCATATAAAGACAGGAAGTAAAGCTCTTTATCAGGCAATGTAAAGATTAACACTGGATTAAGATAAATAGGTTAAGACTGCTGAAGGATTAATTTGCTGGTTTAAGATATTATTCAATATTGATCCATTTGTTTATTAATCATTTCAATACTATTACATATAGCATGATAATACACAATCAGAACATTGCTTTGGTACTAGATTAATATACTAAGCTAACTAAATAAACTGAAACCTGGGCATGGGTATAGGCTGGTATTAAAGGAGTACTCCTCTGACTTGTTGATGTCTACAGTGGTATGCATGACCTACTGACACTGTTATGTTTGACTGATTGTATATATGTTGTCAGGGAAACCTTGACATGTAATTTAATCATGGGCTTTTAACAGTGTTGTTTCTAGAAAATTCCTATTACTGCTGGTTTGTATGAAAATAATTTATAAAACAGTCTCTGACTGGCTGCAGTGTCAAAGTAGATTTTATCATTTTATCAAGCAGCAAAATTCCACCAAGGTTGGTTTTGTCACAGATAGTATTATAACATAGACTCTGACATTGTCAACAATTTTCATGTCATTCTTAAATCTATAGATCATATTGCATCAATCGCGCACTGCAAGTCACTCATAATATTCCCTATAATTTTAACACAGCAAGATTTCTAAGCAAAATATCTAGCTAGTCTGTTTCATATCAGGTGCTAAGTTACTAGTACTCTTGTCTCTGTTCTTAGGTACCTAACTTCCAACACTCACCCCATACTGCACGTTGTTTCCCCCCTGACTCTGTCCCACAGCTGATCTCAGACCCGCTCTGTAATAACACCTGTCTACGACTGCTGCAGGTACGAGATTAGCTGTGTTAACTTTGAGGTCAAGCACCATGGCAACGGTATTGACACCGCGGCTGACTTGGGCCTTTTACTGCACAGTCACTATTGTGGTAATGCTTTCATGTTGGTCTGAATAGTTTGATTTTTTTCAGATATCAAAGAGAATAGTGAATAAGCAGTATACTATACTGTTTGATGATGTAGAATAAAATGTAGTCACGAGCTTGGTCCCAGTTCTGCTGCAGTAAAGCCCCAGAAGACTTGCCAGCAGAGCAAATAAAAATGGGTCAATTGCCCATGAAAGCAGTGTAGAGTTGCACAATTGAGGTTTACAATTCCGCAGTTTAGGTGCATTTGTTTTGTTGTTGTTGCACTTTGGGAACAAATAGAGAGCTTTAGGTCAGCAGTGTTGACCCATCATTGATTCCACAGCAAACTGTTATTACTAGCAGTCTGATGTTTATATTAGGGAACTAATTATATAGATTCAAAAACTCTAAATGTAACACAAATATGAAAGTGATATGGACCTCAAAAATATAAATATACACAAATATCTATGAGAAGAAATATAATTTTGAAACATAATCACCTATGAATTCTTTTATTTGCGATTTCTTTTGTGTAAAAGACCCGCGAGTTAAATTCATTTTTTAAAGGTTTTAATGTATTTCATTCTGGAAGCAATCTCATGTATCTTATCAAAGTTAAATGAAATGAAGATTGAATGTTGTTTGTCCAGCTTCAATATTAAAAAAATTATTTTTTGCCTTCAGGTCAAAGCAAGGACCTGTTATCAGACGAGTTGGAGCCGGATGAGGTTGTGGACAAAGATGAGATGATGCTTCTGAATGAAATCCTATCAATAGGCAACACCTCTCAGAACAATGATGCTCTTTCACAAGAATGGCAATCCATGTTTGGGGCCGCCCCACTAGCTGGTGGTGCCCCCTATACTCCAGCAGAGAGCGAGCACCCGGCAGAGTCTGCCTCGTATATGCCTTCGCAGCTGTTGGATGTCACTGCTGGCATGGAGGGACTGAGCTTGGGAACAGGTGAGAGCTTTTTATATTTTGCTTAATTTATTTTTTATGTTTTATTTCTACATACAATGGTTATTTAGTCTGTAAGTAAAGAATTGTTCTGTTTTATCAACAGAAAACAAGTCATGTGTATGATAATTAAACAGTGTAAAGTAGTGTAATTGTATGAATGCACACCTTCCCCTTATTATGTTACAGGTTTATCTGGCCAGCCACCTCTTATGGCTTCAGCTACATTACCACAGCAACAAGAGCAGCAACAACAACAACAGCAACAACAACAACAACCAAAACCTAAACCAGCTTCCAAAAAGGTGAGATTTATGTATGCCTATCTATGTGTGTTGTGTGTGTCCCCCTTTGCATGTTTTAAAACCCTGGAGTTAAAAGTAATCTTGATTTTTTCTCAGATCAAAAAGGTATAAAGCCTAAAATAAAATGTTTGATTGTACAAGGATTGAATTGATCCACGAAGACCAGGTGGAAGTTGCAAAGACCAATCTGTTTTATCATGAATATCGGGCTTAAAATTTAATCCTTACTTCTTATTTTTACGTTAACAACACTACCATTACCATTTTCTTTTAACTTTAACTTCACCATTACCCATATTGAATTGTTCTCTATGTTTTCTCAGGGTCAGAATATGTCCGCCTGGTTCAACCTGTTTGCTGACCTAGACCCCCTTGCCAACCCAGATGCCATTGGCAAGAAACAGAAGGAAGCCAGTGATGCATTATAATACACTCATTCCAGAACAGAAAAAACAGAGTGTGGAAGATCCTGTTGGTGCGATAACGCGATTTCAATCACAAAGATCCCATTGCCAGTAGATGAAGACATTGATAATATTCAACAATACCAGAATCACACTAATTGCACTTCAACATACTGTCACAGCTAACATGTTGCCCTCAGATTTACACTCTGGCTGTTGAAGTAGATGTTTTTCTTTCGCCGTCATTGGATGGCATTACCTAAACACCTAAATGGTGAAGACTGAAGGGAAATACTTTGTGGCAGTTGAAGGAAATCTGCATCATATTGGAAAAGTAATGGTGTGCACCAAAAGATGGCCTTTTACTGGTGAATATCTTTGATATGTCCAAGGTTGTGACATAATTATGAGAAGAAGGTGGACCATGTTTTTTTTTTTTCCAAAGTGAGGCCATTGTGTGAACATTATGGGATGGGAATAATCTAAACTTGGGGTGTGGGTGGGGGATATAAGAAACTTGGGGAAATTACTTTTGTTCTTTTTTATTATATATTTATAAAGTCTGTTGATTTAACGTGATTGTTTTTATGTTGTTAATGGTGCTTTCTGGGTAAAAACTGTGAGATGATTTATAGCTGCCAAAGCTATCTGAAGTACTTTCATATGTTTTATGGTCAATAGATGATTGAAAAACTTATAGACTTTGGGGACTTTCTCCATTAAACTGTGTAGCACCATTGCTAATAATTTTGATTACTTTGGAAATGATGTGTTGTAAAAAGGTAGTGATGCTAGAATTTACTGATATTTTTTGTCATGTCAGAACACAGCTTTGAATTTATTAAGTGCAATCATGGTATTACATTGGACCAACTAATGGGTATTGGTTTTTTTATGTAGAATAATTTGTACTCTCTAGTTTCCCATTACTTGCATTTTCTGAGCTGTTTTAGAAGTGTGTTTTAGTTACTGGCCCTCGTCTGAAATTCTAGTTTTCCATATTGTAATGCGCCTCGAGTTGAAGAGGTTAGTGACAAATACAGAAGCATGTTGATAATAGAGGTTAATTTACAGCAGACTGAAACCCTGTGTGTTGCCAAGATACTGCCTGTACAACATTTTCTGTTTCTACAATTTTTTTTCCATTTTGTTACAAACAGTGATGAAAAACTCTCAACATATTTGTCATCTCACACTTATTGCATTTTATTTTTATACTGTCAGTTGCATTTTATCCAAATCACTACTGATTTGTTGAAGTTGATAAAGGTAAGTTGACTAAGCTGACTAAGCTGGAGGGGATAGGATTGAAAAAACTTTTTAAAAAGTAGCCAAAAGAACATTTGGTATTTCTATTTTTGGCCATTTAAAGTGGAAGTTAATTTTTTAAAAGGTGGCAGTTTTCCAAGTTATGTAACTTAACGGTAGAGTAGTGATTTAGATACAGAAAACTTTTTTCTTTTTGCAAATTACAGCTGAATATATTACATTCCTGTGTTATTTTTCTGTCTCAGTCCCAGCTTGTCTGAATGAATTCCAGTTTTGTATGTTTTTGTTTTTTTGAGGTTATTAGATGGACATTCCAGCATCTTCTGAAGATAAGAAGACAAAAGGCTTTTGAAATCAGATGTGTTTTGTTTAGTTGACGAGTTGCACATAAAAGACATAATACGTGTATTTCCAAGTTTTATTGCTACAATATTTTCTTATATTTTATTTCTATAGTCAATTTATGTATTGGCTTAGTGGCTAATGGGAACATGTGTTGATATCTAACCTGAAAGAAATAATAAATTTTGAGTCAGGCCGAAAAAAAAATATGCTTCTGTTTACAGTTGTATTGTGTGAGGCTTTAAAAAAATAGATTTGATCTTTTGCATTCGGTGATACCTTAAAAATGGGCCTCGGTAATTCAGTAATATAAAATTCAAAACAAAAGGTTAGAAATATTTATTTTCTGAACTCTCATGTAGTAATGGCTGCTTTTATGATATTCTTAATATCGACAGAGCAAATTCAGCACGCAAATTGATATTACAGTATTCAATATCAGATAACGTGAAAATGAACTTTCTGAAATAGTTTAAAATAAATAATTCATTTCACCTACTTGTGAATGGGCTATAATCTTTATTCACCTTTCATTCAACTACCATAATGCTTTTGGCTCTTATGATGTCATCTATATGTACGTCACCAAGTCACGCCGAGACGTAACGCGATTTGTCAGTAAACGTTGCCAACGTTCAAAAAGGGGATCCAAAGTGACCCGTAAATACAGCGTTTTAGGTAAGGGATAATATTTCCACTGCACTCGATTGAAGTAACTGCAGACAGATGAGACCGAATTTACATAATATACTGTCATGCAAACAAAAGGAATTGTGAACCGGTTTTATATTCATAAGAGATAATTGTATCAATTTTAGAGAATGATCTTTAGGCCCTACCTCCCTGCTTGCGTATCATTAGTTTTTTTAATTTCAGAAAAATTTGTTGGGGAAATGAGGCTATTGATTACAGAGCACGTTAGCTCTAATTTAAAAAAATTGCTTTACTTGGCCTGATATGCCCTTAATGGGCACTAGGGCAATGAACATCTTACCTCAAATCACGAAGCTGTTTACCGCTATCCGTGTTTCCACACTAATCTGACGTCATAAAACCGCCAAGTGACGTAAAGCAATACGTCCAACGACGTACGTTGACCATCTATCGATTTGTGGCGAATTGCCTAGAGGCCTATAGTTTAGATTTATTAAAGATCTACCTTTGCGTGTAATTTAACAGATAGCATTTTTTATTTTGCCTATTATGACGTCTACAATGAATGCATCGGTTTCGTTTCAAGAGTGTGTTTTGGCAATAAGCCTAGGCCCTACATGTCGACTAGTTGACACGAGAAACTCAGCGGCTAGTCACAAAATAATTGTTCAGACTAACCGGACTATTCGACAATAATTGTACTTGTATACAGCATTGTGATGTTTAGGTGTTACTAAATGACTGTACGCTGAGAGCGGCGAACTAGTTCCCCTATCGCATTTGAGCATGATTGCCCCTGTTTTGTGTATATTATAATATATAATTATATATAATTATGGAGAGATATATGAAGAGATATATCTTTAAAATATCCTCCAGCCTTACGAGACGAGGGTGTGTGTTCAAATTCGACAATAAATGATGTCTCAATCGATATATTTTAAATATAGGCCCTATCCGGCAGTGGCGCCGGGTGTGCGAACTTGTCTTGTCTTTGAAATAGTTTTAATATAACACTGAATTGAAAATCAGTATCAGAAGATCTGAACTAAATGCACTGTCACAGTTCAAGGTTCTGATTACAGCACATAGATCTAGGTGGAGTTTCCACAAAATTGGTGATAAAACGATAACTGGTATCGGTGACGCACCTATTGATCTAAATATACGATAATCAGTCGGCCAAACTAGGCGTTATTTCGGTGTAACGCGTGTTGCAATATCATAATACTAATGAAACTGCATGTCCACAGCTAATAATCTAATAATAGAAAATTTATTTAAGCTCTAGCGTCCAGCGCTAAAATTACAATTGAGATATATCCTATTTAGAATATTTAGAATATTCCAGAGTTTCGTTTCGTAGTTCGTTTTTACAGATATCCAATGTACATCCATGTAGTTTATCCATAAAATAAGATAATGGAAAGACTCCATATACTGATAAGCCATATCATTCGATTATACATAAGACTGTTTTGATAGATAATGCAATTATACACCTTTTTCTGTACATTTCTTCAGTCTGCGTCCGAACTATCCAATACCAATCAATCAATTTGATCGTTATATACATGTTGTCTCTTTTGCACCAAGCCTTCTTGTTCAACGACCATCGATATAAGAATATGTCATTTTAATCACATCATTATCGGTCTAATTAAACATGTGCTGGTTTTTGCCTTACAACTCTTGTATACGCGACCCGAACAAGAATATCACAAAATAATCCATGTCCTGTCCATTCGAGAGGCTTTGGTAACATGAATCTTTGGTTTAACCGGTGTCCTCTCCAAACCTCTGTGGCTGTCGGTCGGCTAAAATCTCCGCAAACGCATTAACCTCATGCGTTCCTAAAACGAATTTATGTTGTAATAAATTAACATTGTATTCTAAGAAAATAAATAATGGCATTTTGATTGTGGAAAGATAAATAAATGAAATAAACTTTAAATAATTTCATTTAAAAAGTGGTATGTAGCCAACGTAGAGTAATCTCTGATAGGCGAGCCTAATTAATTATCGGCTCCTCTTTTCGAACCTGTGAAATCAAGATAAATATACAATGGGATATTGCCATGTTGCTGATTAAGGGGGGTTATCGGGGGTTTCTCTGCCTTTGATGGGGATAATGACGGGGACTTTATCGGTTATGACTGCACAGATAACTGAGTTCAGACAGCTAGGTGTGTCGTCTGCGTCAGATATAGCGTAGACTGGAGGAAACACGGGTGGGGCTCTTCTTGGAAATGTATCAGCAGTATCTCCATTCAAATTAATTTGGAACGTGATATCACCGTGGAATTAGTCTTCATCTGAATTCAAAGCTGGATAAACGAAAGCCCATTTTAGGATGTTTTGGCAACGGTTCTATTTGATAAAAGGGATTGGGGTTGGGATGCGTTAGGTAAGGAGTATTATTTGTACGAAATTGGGAGAAATAAGGTGTGCCTAACATAGTTTTATCAAAGCATATAGAGATTGGGTGTAGAGTAAATAAAAGCAAATATCCCTTACTACTACAAGTGGGTAATCCCATCCTGTTTAAATAAAATAAAAGATTAATGTATCATTACTTAAAACAAAATTACAATTACCATATTATATTTGAGAAAATGTAAGCTATAACTGACTACCAAAATTGAATGCAATTTTCACAAGTAAATTGTAGCTCAAGTTATGATTAAATTCTTTATCGAAGCTGTCTTTATCTTTCAAAAATTCATCATTTACAAGAGAGTTTGATTTCACCTTACCTGGAAGGTGGTGAGACGCGTCTCGAGCGGCACGGGATCATAACTTGGGCGCTGAATGGTGATCTGTTCGAAAATAGCAGATAAAACATTTTGTCATCTCTGAATACCACACCAGTATTAGGAGGATTATTCTTAAGAAGCCAAGTCAGCAAGCATTGAGCTTTGCCTGTAGAAATCACGGAAAGTGATGAAAATTTTATTTTTTTAATTATAACTTCATACATTGCTCATTATGAACAAAACAATCGAGAAGTATATCGCTGCTGCGATTTTGAAATAAATGCATTTAAAAAATCACACATTTTGGCAATTTTGAAAATACAGATAGGATGCAAACTTTCAGTTGCCATAGCAACGCCATGTAAAAATATAAAACAAATATATTTGTATATTTGGATAGAGCAATATATCCTTTTCTGGCAGTGCCATATAAAAGTCAGTATAATATATATATATATTCTTTTTTTATTTATTATCATAGTTATTAGGCCTATCTGAGCTGATATTTTCCTCTACCAAAGACCGGTTTCTAGGGAAAAGCAATTTGTTGCTATGGAAACCGGAGGAAATGGTTGAAACATGGCTAGTGGTCATTTTGGTGCGTTTTATGACTAAATACATCATTTAAGACCAAACTAAGCAAAATATAAATTTTTCACATTCCATCCGAAGCTCAATGCTTGCTGACTTGGCCTCTTAACTGATATCAGTTGGAAGCAAGACTCAGTGTGGTATGTTTTTGGAAAACGCTCCTGCTTGAAAACATGAACTGATGCAATACAATATTAAAGCAATATTAACATCTTACATAATCATTGTTTTTAAAATCGCAAGATAACGCACGAGAGTACCTAAACCTATCTCCAATATGGTTCATCATAATGAAAATCAACTAAACAAACAAACAACGTGAAATATACATAATAATAACAATACCTTCTGCGATGTGTCAACATTTTCGTAGTTGGGATTCCAGTTCAGGAACGTTTTCTCAAAAGAACTCCCAGGTGGGTCTTCTAGCGACGGCGGTGGCAGGTTCTCTGTACTACCTGTAAGTAAAGGGAACGATTATATAATCAATATTAAACGCGTCTATTATATTAATTCTACTTTTTCCATGACCCTTAAAACCACTGCATCCAAAAAGATACTTTTACGTCGTTTGATGCGAACGTCTTGGTATTGTGTGTTATGTTATTGAATGCAGATCAATCAATATCAAAGCTCGCTTCTTTCTGTTATCAAAAATAATAAAAAATATCATTTCTTTAAAATAGTCATTGGTGGAGTATTTGACGGCAGGTTTTGATCAAACAGAACTCTGTGGAGTTAGAAGTGTGGGTGGACATAGAGGGTGCTGTAACACTAGAAAGTGAGGAAGGTACCTTTGAATCTTGAGTCATAATAAGCTGCCGACTCATCGCTGTCTTCCAAATCAGAAGGGTCGAATGATTTAATTGGTAACGGCGGACTATAGTCTGGCTCTTCCAGATTTTCATAATTGTTAGACTTGGGTCTGTGCAGCCTGTCCGTGCTCACGGCCCTGGTCTCGTCCATCTCCAGCATTTCGCTGGCTCTTTTCGACTTCCCTTTACTCTTGTTGACCTGTCCGTACGAGTACTCGAAATCATCGTCCAAGTAATTGGTAAAAGAGGAGTAGTTGTTTTGGAATCCTGGGTAGTCCGTGCTCCCGGCATCAAACATTGACCTTATACAAACAAACAAACAAATAAATAAATAAATAAATAAATAAATAAATAAATAAATAAATAAATAAATAAAAAGAGATATCGATTTCTTATTAAAACAAGACATATAGATATTATTTGCATTCTGTATAAACACTCACAATTTACCCATATTTCTCTGTTTTTGATGTAATAAGAAGAAGAAGAAGAAGAAAAAGAAGAAGAAGAAACAAATAATTCATAGAATAAAATATAAAAATAAATTGATTCATGCATATTAAATTAACGAATAAAATACATAAATTAACCTTCTAGCTGTTCTTGAAGACTTGGAGTTTGCACTACGTCTCTTTCTCCGTACCACACAGGCGATAACGATGACGAGCACCACCAAGACGACAGCGCCGCCTACCGCACTCAACACGATGATCAGAGTCTGCTCGTTGTACAGAACGCTCAGGTACTGCTCCTGGCACCTGTCTCCGTGGAAAGTGTACGGAGGTTTGGCGACACACCTAAAAAATATGTTGTTTTAGAAATATGGCCCCTCAAAAGTTTTTTTTTTTTTACGTGACATGTACATGAATTCTTCCTTTCAGTTTTTTTTTTGGGCAGAAATCAAGATGTCTTGTGTTGCTTCCATTTTTAATTTCTTTGTGTAAATGTTTAAGTAGTTTTGATAGCATTTTCCTAGGAAGTCAAGTGATTACCATAGATCGTAATATGATATTAAAGACAACAACGTACTTGCACTTCACGTCATGTCCACTGAAGTGTTCACAGATGCCGTCATTTTGACAAAAACCTGGCTCCATCTCACACTTGGATTTACAGAGTTTCTCAAAGTCTTTCTCATTTTCGTCACATACAAATCCAAGGTCACATATAATTTTCGAACAGAGGCCACCCTTCGTCTCTTCCTGAATCTGGTCAGCTGAAAGTAGCCGTTATATACTTTAATTTAATCAGTTTGAATGTAGGGGTTGGAGGCACAGTAGTAGCTTTTGACGACTCAGTGAATTTAGGAATGGGTTCCGAAAATTTTACACGTTTTGTAATTCTTTAACAGTTCCACATTAGCCCTCCACAAAAGACACTGAATCAAAAATATTTACATATTTACAACGTTCTGAATAGATAAGTACCCACCTATTTTTGCTTGCTCTGTGCCCTGCTGCAAAGAATCCTGTAAGGTACTCTTCTCAATTTTAAAATTTTTATTGCCAACTGTCAGGTTGAAATCCATCGCATTACTTTTTGGGGCTTCTGCGATTTCATTAGCTATGGCTGTGGAATTAATAGTAAAATTCCCATTCTTAGCTACATCTACTGGCTCCAGCACCATAGTGTAGTTGACTTTCAAACTTCCACAACTGAAATGCGAGCAAACCCATCAAAGATAGTACAGGTACATGTTCTTATAATAATAATAATAATAATAATAATAATAATTTGGAATTACGAGAATCCAAAGAACATCGAAAATGTCAGTGAAGCCGATCGTGATTGGGGCACTTGGAACAATCTCGAAGAACGCAAAGGCCTGGTTTGAGAAGTTAGACATGTCCCACATTGTTGAGAGTGCACAATTGGCGGTCATACTTTGAACAGCTTACATATTGCGAAAAAATGCTGTATCTCTAAGCTGCGGGAAGCAGCTGAGACATACAAAAAAAGAAAAAAAAAATGAATATAGAATGTCTTATAGCTGAAGCTTTACATAATAATAATAATAATAATAATAATAATAATAATAATAATAATAATAATATTACATACTATACTGATTAATGGCTTAGTTAATATTTTGAAAGGACAAAGAGTTTACCTTGATAATTTACACTTACCTTACTTTGTTGATGACAATTTTCTTGAATTCCTTTACTGTTCCATATACCGAAACCAACTAAAATGATAAATATTAACCTTTACCGAATAGGACCAAGAAATAGATGTAAAACAAACTATTAGTTAATTGTATTAAGGACTGAAACTTCTGTTTCTTAAAGAACAGAAAAACGCCAAGATCCAATAACTTCTAAGCTCATTATATATATAATAAAATGCTGTTTTTATGTTTGCAATAACATCAAAAAGTAACACACCTGTCTTTCTAGTTGCTTTTCAACTTCGTCTTCGTTTTCACGGAGTGACACCTTACAGTTTGGAATCTTCACAGGAAAAGTCACGCTAATTTGTATATCTAAATCTGAAATTAAACTCCGCGTTTTACTGTTTACCTAAAGGGATAATAACTCTTCGTATGAGATCATATTTCACAATAAAAACATTGTGAATAACTCATAGAAATAAAATATATTCTGTTTTACCACAAAAACGGTAGTTATAGCTATTATTCTGACATCTGAGCTTGTCTTTAGACCACGTGACCTCCACTGATGGCTATACTCTGTTATAATCTCTTAAGAGATTTTAACAAAAAACCAAATTTCTTAGAAAAAAAACCAGGGACTAACTTTGAATGTAAAAATGGATTCATTAACCATTGGTAAGTATGGGAAAATTGTTGTTTACTCCAGGAAAATTCATTTTTTGGCCGAAACGAAGAGTTATTATCCCTAAAATAACACAATGCAAAGTAAAGACGCAGGCTTCCAATATTTCATCAAAGACTGCCTATGTTCAAAACAATTGGATCTATACCAAGTGTCCTATTCCCCATTTAATAAAAAAAGTGAATGAAAAACACAAACCTTTGATAACTGGCGGTTTGGGTGGCGGGAATGGCGTTGGTGTCACTGTAGCTGGTGGTTTAGTACTCGTCACTTTTGACGTTGGCTCTGTTACTACACTAGTCATCTCCGAAATTGTAGTTGTTCTATTCCTCATTGCTTGTGTGGTAGTAATGTCAATTACTGACATTGTAGAGGTCGTTGTCTCTGTGTTAGACGGTGCTGTATAAGTGGTCTGTTTAGCTTCAGTAGACTGCAGTGACGGTACTGAAGAAATACTTGTTGTTCTCTCTGGGGATGCCGTCTCTGCTGCTGTAGTTGACGCTGCGGTAGTAGCAGTTGTCGATGGTGATGCGCTAGTCGTCTCTGCTGCTGTAGTAGACGCTGCTGTAGAAGTTGTATCTTGTGCTGTGGTAGTCGTTTCTACTACTATAGTAGTCGTTGCAGTAGAAGTAGTTGTCTCTGGTGATGAGCTAGTCGTCTCTGTTACTGTAGTAGTCGATGCTGTAGAAGTCGATGTCTCTTGTGCTGTGGTAGTCGTCTCTGCTTCTGTAGTAGTCGTTGCGGTAGAAGTATCTTGTGCTGTGGTAGTCGTCTCTGCTGCTGTAGTAGACGCTGTAGTAGACGTTGTTGTCTCTGGTGATGAGCTAGTCGTCTCTACCACTGTAGTAGTCGTTGCAGTAGAAGTAATTGTATCTTGTGCTGTGGTAGTCGTCTCTGCTGCTGTAGTAGACGCTGCAGTAGATGCTGTTGCCTCTGGTAATGAGCTAGTCGTCTCTGCTGCTGTAGTAGTCGTTGCTGTAGAAGTTGTTGTATCTTGTGCTGTGGTAGTCGTCTCTGCTGCTGTAGTAGACGCTGCAGTAGAAGTTGTTGCCTCTGGTAATGAGCTAGTCGTCTCTGCTGCTGTAGTAGTCGTTGCTGTAGAAGTTGTTGTATCTTGTGCTGTGGTAGTCGTCTCTGCTGCTGTAGTAGACGCTGCAGTAGAAGTTGTTGCCTCTGGTAATGAGCTAGTCGTCTCTGCTGCTGTAGTAGTCGTTGCTGTAGAAGTTGTTGTATCTTGTGCTGTGGTAGTCGTCTCTGCTGCTGTAGTAGACGCTGCAGTAGAAGTTGTTGCCTCTGGTAATGAGCTAGTCGTCTCTGCTGCTGTAGTAGTCGTTGCTGTAGAAGTTGTTGTATCTTGTGCTGTGGTAGTCGTCTCTGCTGCTGTAGTAGACGCTGCAGTAGAAGTTGTTGCCTCTGGTAATGAGCTAGTCGTCTCTGCTGCTGTAGTAGTCGTTGCTGTAGAAGTTGTTGTATCTTGTGCTGTGGTAGTCGTCTCTGCTGCTGTAGTAGACGCTGCAGTAGACGCTGTTGCCTCTGGTAATGAACTAGTCGTCTCTGCTGCTGTAGTAGTCGTTGCTGTAGAAGTTGTTGTATCTTGTGCTGTGCTAGTCGTCTCTGCTGCCTTCTCAGACGCTTCTGTAGAAGTAGACGCTGTTTCTTCTGGTGATGAGCTAGTCGTCTCTACTACTGTAGTAGTCGTTGCGGTAGAAGTTGTTGTATCTTGTGCTGTGCTAGTCGTCTCTGCTGCTATCTCAGACGCTTCTGTAGAAGTAGACGCTGTTTCTTCTGGTGATGAGCTAGTCGTCTCTGCTGCTGTAGTAGTCGTTGCGGTTGAAGTTGTTGTATCTTGTGCTGTGGTAGTCGTCTCTGCTGCTGTAGTAGACGCTGCAGTAGACGCTGTTGCCTTTGGTAATGAACTAGTTGTCTCTGCTGCTGTAGTAGACGCTGTTGTAGACGTTGTTGTCTCTGGTGATGAGCTAGTCGTCTCTGCTGCTGTAGTAGTCGTTGCGGTAGAAGTTGTTGTATCTTGTGCTGTGCTAGTCGTCTCTGCTGCCTTCTCAGACGCTTCTGTAGAAGTAGACGCTGTTTCTTCTGGTGATGAGCTAGTCGTCTCTGCTGCTGTATTAGTCGTTGCGGTAGAAGTTGTTGTATCTTGTGCTGTGGTAGTCGTCTCTGCTGCTGTAGTAGACGCTGCAGTAGACGCTGTTGCCTTTGGTAATGAACTAGTTGTCTCTGCTGCTGTAGTAGACGCTGTTGTAGACGTTGTTGTCTCTGGTGATGAGCTAGTCGTCTCTGCTGCTGTAGTAGACGCTGTAGTAGACGTTGTTGTCTCTGGTGATGAGCTAGTCGTCTCTGCTGCTGTAGTAGTCGTTGCGGTAGAAGAAGTTGTATCTTGTGCTGTGGAAGTCGTCTCTGCTGCTGTTGTAGTCGTTGCGGTAGAAGTTGTTGTATCTTGTGCTGTGCTAGTTGTCTCTGCTGCTTTCTCAGACGCTTCTGTAGAAGTAGACGCTGTTGCCTCTGGTGATGAGCTAGTCGTCTCTGCTGCTGAAGTAGACGCTGTAGTAGACGTTGTTGTCTCTGGTGATGAGCTAGTCGTCTCTGCTACTGTAGTAGTCGTTGCGCTAGAAGTAGTTGTTTCTTGTGCCGTGGTAGTCGCCTCTGCTGCTGTAGTAGACGCTAGGGTCGACGTTGTTGTCTCTGGTGATGCGCTGTTCTTTGCATCTGTAGCAGTTGCTGCTGAAGAAGACACCCTTTGCGCTGTGCCAGTTGTCTCTAATGTTTTGTTATTTGACGTTGGTTTTGCTGTGTTCATAAAATTTGTTTGTGCTGACGTTACAGATGGCGCTGGCTTTGTTTGGGTACTTGTTGCAACAGACGGTGCGATAGTTGATGAAAATGATGATTGTGTTGATACTATGGTACTCGTTGATGTTATACAAATGAAAACAGCGGTAATTAAGGCTGTGTGACTCATTTTAACCTGAAAAGACACATAAAAATGGAAGTGTAATAAGATCAGCATAGAAATTTGGATGAAAAAAATTTTAACTTATCAATTTGTTTTTTTTTTTTCATAGATTGGGCTTTTATTCAAGTCAATGGCTGTATGATAATATTACTTTATGTCACGTATGGAAAAAGAATCCCATACGTACGATCGAATATATAGGTTGAAAATGACATAAGATTATGAACAAAGAGCACAAACCCAAGCCGAGGTATCTACAAAGATATCACAGGGTATTAACTAGGTTTAGTTATCTTCCTAACGAAACATGATCTGAATACAGCTGGGGTTGTATTCACAGCCCCTGACAACTGCTGCCAACCAATCATACTGCATAATTCAAACGACGCATATATTCTATTCTTTTTCCTTACAAAGTTACTACAAATATGGCACTGTAAAATATTCGTTCTCCTTTTTCTTTTTTTTTAAGTAAAAGGGTAGTTTTAAATTATAGTCTCAGAAAACACAAAAAAGATGTATATAAGGGTCCCATTATGATTATCTTAGATATCAATCCACGTAGTTTACAGGTAACAAGGGGACCACAGATGTTGTTGTAAAGGGCGGTCTGTGTGTAATGCGACCGTTGTACATATATGCTTGTTTTATCTAACCTACATGATAATGCCAATCAATGGATATATCGATAAATTAAAGGTAATGCCTTTAGCTTTTTTAGCTAGATATCATCGATAAACGATATCAGTCGACTTTTCAGTTCATGTCTGTTTTTTTTCTGTCCAATACTGCAACGACCTCGCCTCTCAGGGGAGCAGATAACCAAGCAGTGACACACATGTACGTGGCACTCCCGAGTTATTATTAAAAATAACCATGGGAATAAATTGGATTACTAAAAATTATCTTAAGCACTACCGTACGACCAGGTGTTTACCCCCTGTCTCTTCCTCTATATACCGCATTCTATGCCAGAAGACAGCAGGACCCAGTTTCACAGTTTTAAACATGGACGTGGAAGACAAATCCACGACTTCCTGGTCTTCTACACTAGTAGAGCTACCCGCCTAGTATATGTATTGGGCATTGATATTCAGTTTTAAACCTCATGATATGAGGATATATAAAATGAATTTGTTTTTTTTTTCAGAATATAGTATTATGTTAAAAAATCTTTAAAATTAAACTAAAAGTTATATACGTGGCACTCCCGAGTTATTATAAAAAATAACCATGGGAATAAATTGGATTACTAAAAATTATCTTAAGCACTACCGTACGACCAGGTGTTTACCCCCTGTCTCTTCCTCTATATACCGCATTCTATGCCAGAAGACAGCAGGACCCAGTTTCACAGTTTTAAACATGGACGTGGAAGACAAATCCACGACTTCCTGGTCTTCTACACTAGTAGAGCTTCCCGCCGAGTATATTGGGCAGAGATTTTCAGTCTTACACCTCATGATATGAGGATATATAAAGTGAATTTGTTTTTTTTTTCAGAAAATATTTCTGTTTAAAATCTTTCGAAACAAATTAAACATACAGACACCAAACTGAAAAAAAACATTGCAACAATAACTATTAGAAAGTTAAAAAACAACTTTTGTACAAATAATCCGTTTGCGATGACTTTCAAAATGGAACTGCCCTTTTTCCCTAAACATAGTCACTTAGCATTACAAATTTATTATGCTGATTTTAAGAAAGGAAACTTTTTTTAACCAAATAAAGTCACTCAAAATTTTGAAGTAAAATACGTTCAGGCAGTAATGGGGTGAACAGATGTTTCGGACAGCATCTGCGACTAGCCGGACAGACACACTGATCAAAATAAATTCGGACACCTGTGGTGTCTGCATATACATATAAAAAACACACCCTTTGCAAAATAAAAAGTTTGCAGCAATATTACAACAATACTGTAACAATATTGCTGCAAACTAAAAGTTTAAAATACGCATGCAAGGAGGTTACTATCTTGATGTAATGAAAGTCCGTTTTTTTCTGAGGAAATGTCCGCAGTTTTCAGGCAAATACGTTTTTCCCAGAACTTAGACCTAAGTGTATCTCATATATATTCCATGTAAGGACTTGACCCGCATTTCAACCCTACATAGTTTCCCAGAAATGTTCATCTTTATGAAACACACGACCAGAAAATTATGAGATGAATGATATGAAATTACAAGCAAAATTTTCACCAGAAGTGTTCTACCTTTGTAAGAATATTCCTATTACGCTGTTTTTCTTTTCCTAACTTATAGACTATGATTTTACAATAAAATCTTCCCATCCTATTCTTAGTGAGACATAAATGTGGTAATAGTTTATATTTTTCTCGTGAATGTTCAGTTTTGACTACACACAATTCGCGCAAAATTGTTTATCATTGCGAAAGATCGTTTTAGATTGTTGACTGTTTTGATCCATAGTACTGAAGTTTGTTTTTGATTAAATGTTCCATTTTATGGTAATAACACACATAAGTCATAAAGGTGGCGTAAACTTTTAAAGCTGTTTGACTTCTTTAACTCTAAAGTTTAAGGGACAAACAAGACAAAAGAGCCCAGTTATTGATAACCATTCTATAGCTATAAATTGTTTTAAACGTAATTTCAAAAAATTAATCGCTACCAAAGAAATGTGAAAATTCAAGCTCACTCATTGTGGCTTATAGAAACGCAAGATCTTTATGAAATTCAGTGGATATATTTTTAGAATGAGGCATTAAAGTGAAGTTAATATTGAATATACATGTATATAGTTACGTTGATGCGTTATGTGTAGTATTTGGCGTCAATATGTTGCCTTTCCACCTTTAATTAATTGTTGTGCTTTAACACGAAAATCATTTTGAGCAAGCAAAGGAGTTAAGTTTAGACGTCGGTCAGTTATATATTGTATGTAATCCCTTAATGAAGCAAGCAACAGCAGTTACACAAGATGTGAACGAATGTTAATAATAATAATATAATGATAATAACAATAAGGGAATTGTGAAATAAAATAATTTTCATAATTGATTGAAAGAATGAAATGGAACAACTTCAACTTACGTTTCGAGTTTAGCCTTCGTTAATCCTTTTTTGAGTATAGGACCACTGATGGCCTATTCCAGATTCCTTTTTTCTTTTTAACAATTTTTGTTAGAGTCACCCTTAAATGCTGTAGCCCGAGGGCTCAGTGCACAAAAATGAACCTGATTCAAACGCTGTGATATTTCCTCTGTCAACTGATTCACTCCCCTGTCACCTAGGTACTGTATGTGTCATACCGATATCATGTGTGGTCCATTCTGATAAACTAATCCGTTAAACCAGAGCTTACTTTCAGTATTACACCTCCAGATATATTGGTGAACTGATAACCCACGTAATTTATCTGAAATGGGCTGGGCCGTGTTTATTGGCGTAATTCATGATTTCAAAGAAAACCACGCTCTTGTCTCGGTCTTGTCTCATTTCCTTTGGAAAAGAATTGACATAAAGATATGCAGTGTCAACACGGATATTTGTCGTTCAATACCGCGCCATGCTCTGACAACAGACATGTTATAAACCACGTATTACCTCACAGGCAGATAAGGGGTATGGGTATCACCCCCCCCTTCAGTTGTCTTCGTAAATAGTGCTTTTTCGGGTGTTTTGCAAAACTGAGTACATATTTGTTGGCTCAAACGTATGTCCTATATGTCTTTTCAAAGAGAAATCAGCTGAAGTTTTGAATTCGCCAATTCGCTATTGAAAAGAGCGGGTCGTGGGACATCATTGGTCCGTAGGTTCATTGGTCCGAAAAGTGGTAACACTTTCATCGATTTTTTAATCAAGGGTCCATTGGTCCGAAGGTTGTATAGTGAACATTCGGACCAATGAACCTTCGGACTATTGAACCTTCGGAATATCGTTGGACAGCCCCTTTTGCCCCCCCCCCCCCTCCCAACACAGGCATGTGATCAAACAATATGTTATGTAAAACATCCGAATGTACCCGGTAGTCATAAGAGGGGAGTGGTTTGAGCTTTATGAGGTTCCCACAGTAGAAATAATTCCTTGACCCTAGTTGATGAATAAGTTACCGGTACTTTCCTTCATTCCAGCTGCTGACCTTAGCCGGTACACAGGGCCGATGTTATTGCGTGTGGAGTAAGACAAATTGCTTTGTTTGCCCTAGCATATGCTTTCACTGCTTATCTGGGAAAAAAACATCGTGTTGTTCAACTCGGTTTTATTCTATCACCTTGGTTTTCTTTAGAAGCTAAGTTCCTTATCAGTTTGTGTTGATACATTTCCCAAATCACCTGCTTCACCTTAGAACCAAAGGTATTTATTTTTAGGCTAATTCCTTTAAAAACTGTTGGGACAGTCTTGTGACATTTATTATAGCTATCAATAAAGAAAATTCTTTCCAGAAATTCATTTTAAAGTTTAAATTGTCTTAGCGAATTAAAAAGTTAAACCTTAAACATGCACCTTTGAGGTTCCTTTACCTTACAAACTTTCCATTGCAGCCATGTCCTGGTATTCAGATGATAATAAATAAAATAAATAAATAAATAAATAAATAAATAAATAAATAAATAAATGATAATATTAGTTAATAATCGAATGATTGAAAAGACAATGAATGATGAAATGAATAAACACTATGAAAATGCTAATAGAAAATTACTTCACGAATTTATAAAAAAAAAATATTTGCTAGTTCAATGTTAAAGGCACACAGTGAGCTTTATTTATAAGACCTATAGATAGAGAAAATAAATAAAATTAATTTATTAAATAAATTGATTATTTAATAATTATTAATTCTCTTGCAAATTTCAGCTATCCCATTTTCGCAAAGGTTACAAACTTTTATATCCTATCCATACTAGTAGAGAAAATTACGATCTGCAAACCTGTTTCCATTTATTAATGTCTAATTTAAGCTTCAAGAATGACTTTTACCAGATTTTACACTAGTAAAAAAAATCAGGGTTGCGTTGACTTCAGCAGCAATTTTGATTTCACAACTATCGCAATCTCTCTTGGCGCGAAAGTGTGGCACCGGCTTTCAAAAACCGCAGCACGACAGCAGATCAGAAGCATCATAGCATATTTTAAGACATTCTCTCTTCCATACTTATATTGTTTTTTCTTCCTATGCCATATGACACTTTTCTTCCAGTATCCTAATTGAAAAACCCTGTTATTCAAAAAAGGTTCAGCAATTTGCAAAATCTAGTTCACAGCAAAATAAAAGCGACTTTATCAATGGCCGGATTTTCACCGCTCAGCCAATCAACGCTTAGCTTTTTTAGGGCTAAGGCTAGAAGTCATACCATATTCATTCGCGACCTCCACATGTTGGGCCGTGGGCAGAGGAAAAGTTGATGAAAATAATTTCTTTGTATTGATTTAGCCAGTCCATAAATCCTTGGGGGTCGCGAACCGCTTTAGAGGAGAGAAGATGGACCTGATCACTATACTTGAGAAGACCGTCTCTCCAGGTAAAATATCTCTAATGTATTGTATGTTGAGTAATGTGTTATCCCTGAGAGCTCACTTCCAAATGAAAATTCTTCGTCCACTCTTCTCGTGGCAGATGGGTTAAATGGCTTTACACGACACTGCTTGGGTTGTATATAAAGCTAGCTTGTATTTATTTTATAGATCAGAATGAACTGCAGGAGGCTCAAAAGTACCTAGAACAAGCAGCAGGACAAAATCTAGTGAGTATTTTCAAGACTAAACGTACCAGTCTTTAAACCGACCAAATGAGGGGTACATGAAATATACTTTCATTTTACTGAAATCACATCTATTTTCCAGATATTGTCACTCACACTTGTATTTTCATAAACTTAGTATATTTGTTTCAATCACAATGCCGAAGTTGACATACAGCTTTTAGTTCTTTTTTGTGTCTTGAGAGTATTTGGGAGAACCTAATGGGAAAGTCCCTCTTTCCTGCAGCGTTTTGTTGTTGGCTTAAATAGGAGGCAAAAACTTTCCATGTCAATCGGAATACTCAAGGGATACTGTATCATTCACTTTTAGAGATTGACAATATCCTGACAATTACATATGCTAGACATGCCCAATTATTGCTAACTTAACTGACTATTATATATGCTAGACTGTAGACATGCCCAATTATTGCTAACTTAACTGCAGGAAGTGAACTTGTAGAATGGAATAAAATTTGCTGATATGTAATAATCAGGGATGATATTTTGCTGACTGTCAGCTTATTGCCGACGTTTTGGGAGCCAAAAATATCATTGGCCTAGAGGAGGCCTTGGACCCCACGCAATATTTTCTTTTTCAGCAAAGGGCAGTCTCATCCTTGGTTATTATATTTTAGGATCTGGCGAAGTAAACAGTTTTAAGTATAAGTGTGAAAAGAGCCTAGCATTTGCAAAATTTGAAAAATGTAATGCTTTTGAACACATCCAAATACATATCATCTAATTACTTCGGCCAAGTATGTTAATTTTTGCTTAATTGTAATTTTCTGATTAAGACAAAATTTATTACCATTTCAGCCTGAGCTTTTACGGCAGCTGTCGGATATTTTAAAACATGGCGGGAACAGCCCCGTGGCCAGAATGCAAGCTGGGTTGCAGTTAAAAAATGCCCTCTACTCCAAGGATGCAGCTGTGAAATTAGAGTACCAAACAAGATGGCTGGCTTTTCCAGAGGAAGTCAGGACTTATGTCAAGAAAAATGTTAGTGTATTCATTTGATGTGTTGCTATTTCAGTTGTACAGGCCATTGTGAAATTTAGGAACCCAACCTTTGCTGTCTTATCATAATGGATTTCAATTCTGATATTAAAACTTTCTTGCAAAGAAAACTTGTGTAGAACTTTGGTAATTTTTATGCAGATAAAAGCACATCACGTTTTTGTGTAATATATTAAATATTGTAATGGCATTCATGTTTTTCTCAACTATAGAAGTGACACAATATGATTGCATCTTTAAAAAGATATTCATTAAATACTGTAAGATTATCAATCAAAGCCCTCTTGATGTTCTTTCTCCCTCAGATATTAGAGACACTGGGCACTGAGCAGACCCGGCCCAGCTCCGCGGCTCAATGTGTGGCCTACGTGGCCTGTACTGAGCTGCCCAATGGTCAGTGGCCAGACCTGATGGCTGTGCTGGTCCAGAATGTGACCAATGCTACCAGCACAGAGATGATGAAGGAGTCCACTTTGGAGGCTATTGGTTATATATGTCAAGACATTGTGAGTTCTGTTATCTTAAATTAGAGATTAGATGAAAGTGTTTAGGAAAGAATACATACTGGTAATTCTTTATTTATTGCTGTATTTATTTATTTATTTATTTTTACAAGCAAGTCAATGTTGTTCTTTGCCGCCATCATGCTGAATTGCTTACTCAATATTTTTATGTTGAGCCACTTTCCAATTATGTTCTTGCATTTTCCTTTTATTAGGACCCAGAAATACTTCAATCACAGTCTAATGAAATCCTCACAGCTATAGTTCACGGCATGAAGAAGGACGAACCAAGGTAAAATATTTGGCAGCATAATTTAAAAAGATTTTTCATATCTTTTTAAAAATTGTGGGACATTGTGCTATTGCAATAGATGATTTTGTAATTGAAAAATTGTTTTAGACATCTGTTGAATTGTGACTCTTTAAATGTCTTGCATTTTCTTTATTTCGTGAAATTAAATCAAATACTTCAACACTTTATTATTGTAGCAACCATGTAAGGCTAGCAGCAACAAATGCATTGCTTAATTCCTTAGAATTCACAAAAGCAAACTTTGACAAGGAGGTAAGACAATCAGCAATTTTTTCTATTCTGAAGATGCAACAGTTATGTTGTAGTTATATAGTTGTATTTCTATTAATCTCGACAAGTTATATTTATATAGAGATGAACTTATATTACTAGTAAGATATCTTTGTGTCACTCAAAAAATGTTTGTTGGGGGCTCTGATGGAAAATGTATATAAATTTACTTTAATACTATTTCATATTAGCAAGAGCGTCACTTCATCATGCAAGTAGTCTGCGAGGCCACTCAGTCGGTGGACACACAGGTCAAGGTTGCCGCCCTGCAGTGCCTGGTCAAGATAATGTCCCTCTACTATCAATATATGGAGCACTATATGGGGCCAGCCTTATTTGCTGTAAGTATATTGTAATCTACTACCAGTGTATGGAGCACTATATGGGGCCAGCCTTATTTGCTGTAAGTATATTGTAAATCTACCAGCAATTGGAGAGGGGGGAGGCTAATGAGAATTTTTAGAAGCTGTCTAGTTGAACGATTTTGATCAGGCTCTCCGAATGAGAGCTGGGTGGCTAGCTGGCCAAATACTTGCCTGCAACTAAATTATCTTTACTACCACATGCTCATTTAGAGCAGAATGCCTATAATTGATGACTTCTTATGTTATATTATTTTTATTATCGGATTAAAGATCTTTCTGATGTGAGTTTGAGTGGGAAATAATCTATAAAATCTACTCCACAGTTTTTCTGCTTTCTCTCAGATCACCATGGAAGCCATGAAGAGTGATGTGGATGAGGTATCTCTGCAGGGTATAGAGTTCTGGTCCAGTGTTTGTGATGAAGAAGTGGATTTGGCCATAGAGGCTTCAGAAGTAAGGGCATTAGAATTACAAATACAATCTTATCAAACTTAATTTGATAATATTGCTATCATATTTTCTGATAATATACTTAACTATTTGGTATGCTGTAATACAATAGACACTTGAATATGCCTCTAATGTAATAATAATAATAGTGGGGCTAAAATATTATCAGAAAGTAACATATTCTCGTATTTCATACAGTATTCATTATTTTCATCTTATTATATCTGAGCTGGTGATATCAAAGAGACATTGCCTCTAAGATGTCCAATATTTTCAGGCTGCTGAGCAGGGCAGACCCCCAGAAAGGACCAGTAGGTTTTATGCAAAAGGCGCCCTTCAGTATTTAATTCCCATCCTAACCCAGGTCCTCACAAAACAGGTAATTTGATGCTGGTCATTCAGGCAGATTGATTCAGAGCTGGTTTGTGATAATACCAGATTATACTGCCAGTAATATATATAAGAAATTATCCTATGTCAGTTATTAGGGAAAAATAAGTTTCAAGTGGTAGTGAAACAAATATGAATATTTTCATGAGTAGATATCCTTCTTATCATCCACTTTGAAACTTAAACTATGTCCTTTCACGTTCTCTAATTGAAAGTTGTGCATAGTATTGCAATCTAAAAGAATATGAGCTAGTATAGAAGATGGCAGATTTTAAGAATGGACTTTTTTTGTCTTCCAGGAAGAGTTTGATGACGATGACGACTGGAACCCTTGTAAAGCAGCAGGAGTGTGTCTGATGTTAATGGCGACGTGTTGTGAGGACGACGTAGTCCCTCTGGTCCTCCCCTTTGTAAAAGACAATATCCAGAGTCCAGACTGGAGGTTTAGAGATGCTGCAGTTATGGCCTTTGGTAAGTCTCACACAGGCTGTTATAAGGTTATTTTTACAGTCTGTACCAAAAGCATTTGAAGCTACAAAACCTGTAGGCAATCACCAGCTTAAAGTGGATTTGGGTTATAGGAAATATAATATTTAAACTCAAGCCCAGTGCCTGTAGGTGGGCAATTGCCTCTAGCTAGTGCCTGTTGGTGTTAACTGTTTTCAGTGAAGTGGCATACTCATTACAAAAATTAGCTACTGCAACAAGATTACTTGCATTCCGTCAATTTTTTGTAAGGCTTCATTGAAATGTTTTAGCATATATAAGCAAATTAAATGTTATAGATTGTGCCTCATTTTATTCATATTTTATATTATGGATATATATTTTATTTTTTACTCAGAAAAGGATGATGTATTTAAACATTTTCTTCTGTTTAGGCTCAATTTTGGAAGGCCCAGATCCTCAGAACCTTAAACCTATTGTAGAACAAGCCATGCCAATGCTGATCAACCTTCTAAAGGATCCCAGCGTAGTGGTACGAGATACTGCAGCCTGGACGGTGGGGCGTGTGTGTGAATTGCTACCTGACGCCGTGGTCAATGAAGTGGTACTGAAACCACTGCTGCAAGCTCTCGTGGAAGGTCTCCAGTCTGAGCCCAGGGTGGCCTCTAATGTCTGCTGGGTAAGCATCAAGACGTGATGGAATAGCGTCTGCTGGCTGTGGCATGTTTTAAAAGAATGAAAGGATAAAATTTGAGAAAAAGAAAGTGGTTTTACTGGTTTGCTTAAGATGTGTACTTGAAGAACAATTTTCTTTTGCCTGCTTGATTGAATTATATAAAATGTTTGCCCATTGTATTTCAGAAAAAAAGATAATATATTTGTGGATTTTTTTTCTTTGGTTCTTCGATAAATATAACACATAAAATTATTTCTTTTTTCCCCAGGCATTCTCCAGTCTTGCTGAAGCTGCCTATGAGTCTGTGGAAATCCCAGATGACGCTGAGGAGCCAGATACCTACCCACTGTCTGAGTACTTTGAGGCCATCATACAGAGGCTTCTAGAAACCACAGACAGGTAGGGCAGAGCACAGAGTCAGTTAAGTCAGAGATGTTAGCTTCTGGCCCTATGACAAGATTTTCTTTGAAGTGGGGTCTGTAAAACTTTGTAATTTGTTCACTCACAGTTTGTGTTTTGGGCCAGAAGATTCCAAGGCCTACCTATCAAAAATGATGTTGATATAAAAGTTTTTCATACACATTAAGTCAGTTAATGGAAATGAACTTTTTAAGTATCATCAGGTGAATAAGAAAGTTTATCTTGGTGTTCTGAGCTAACTCTTGTCTACTAGATAGAGACGAGTGTAAAGATGTTGTACCGTACATAAAATTGATCAGTTATGAAGGTCAGTTTTGATCAGGCTAAATCTGTTCAGCTATTTGGCTAATTTCTTTTTATCCAGCCATGGTAGAGATAGAAGAAAGTTATCTTTGTATGGTTATTTAGAACAGTGTTTATTTTTGTCTTATTTTAAACATGTATTTAAATGTCTTCAACAGAAATGATGGCAGCCAGCACAATCTGAGAAGTGCAGCATATGAGGCTTTGATGGAAATGGTGAAAAATAGTCCAAAGGTACAGAATTAAATTAAATGTACTGTTCTGTTATTCTGAAATGAATATTGATTAATTAATTCATCTAGTGCATTTAATTTTCAATAGGACTTCTTCATAATATTCTTGTATTCAACTGATTGCTCCTTGATAGTTATTCTTGATCCTGATTTATTTATTGATGAGCTCAAAGGTCTGTTAATGTGACTGCGTATGGACATGGAATAGTTTTTGTAAATTGCACTGTTGAAATAAGTTTCTTTTTATCTTTAGGATTGTTATGTCACAGTTCAGAAGACGACATTGGTGATATTGGAAAGGTTGCAGAGAGTCTTACAAATGGAAGTGAGTAAAAATCATTGAGCTGGTGCTGTAAATATTCTATATTAAAATTTAAAAAAGGAATAATGTTCTGGCTTTCTTAATCATTTTAAAAAGGAAATCTGGTCACAAGGCAATCAAGCCATTTCTTTCTACTTTTTTTTTTACAACCCAAAATCATGTCAGAATATTCTATAAATAGAAGTTGATCTATAGGTCTATTTGCACACATTATCTGTGTGATTGCAAGAGCGTTGTCCATATTCCAGGGCCACATCACGTCCAGTAATGACCGTGTCCAGTATAATGATCTGCAGTCCCTGCTGTGTGCCACACTCCAGGTAATTATAATACTCCAGCATATTAGTAAGGTTCTGTGTTTTCTGTTAATTCAGAATCCAAATGTCAAGTACACGTTAAGGATGGGGCTTTTCTGTCCGTTTATCTTGAAAAGAAAGTGAAAAGAAGCTGGATTTTAACATAATTTTTGAAGGAGGCCTTTAATGGCGTTTTTTGAGGGACAGGTTTACCTTTATTTGTTTTTCCCCCAGATCGTGCCGAAGCTTCAAGAGGATTCTTCTTTTACAGACAACTTCACATCACACTGACCTTTTATTCTGCATCTCTGAGAGACTTGAGAATTTTGGGTTTTCATTATGACTGAATTGTGTAAGATGATGAAATGTGTATCCAAACTCTACCACAAAAAGTCTTAACTGTACAAAGTATATAATCATATCTTTCTCCTCCCCAGAGCGTCCTGAGGAAGGTGACACCAGAGGACGCCCCCCACATCTCGGACCCCATCATGACAGCCCTGCTACAGATGTTACAGAACTCCTCAGGCAGGGCAGGCGGTGTACAGGAGGATGTGCTTCTGGCTATGTCCACTCTGGTGGAAGGTGAGGGGATCAGGGTCATATTGGGTGTGGACTCAGGTTGTACTAAAACTATAGCGTGCTCTCTAAGGGTGTCTCTTCAATTTTTGACATGATTACTTAGAGTGGTCATTGTGATATGATGTTAACATGAGTCTTAAGTTAATCTAGTACTTTCATTTTGTTAATCTAGTACTTTCATCTTGCTGTTGTGACTTGGAAAAAAGCCAGTTATTGATATAAAAGGTTTTCTTGTGTAACAGCTTCTTGAAGTAAAGGTGATTTGGTCAAACAAATCCTTTCAATCCCAATTTGTAATGGTTGTTCATACAGCTGATACTACTGAGATGCTTTTTCGTTGTTTTGACAGTCATGCCCCTGTTTATTCAAGTCCTTCATCTCTTATTTATGGTATTGATTAATTCATCAATTTATGTATTTATTTCAGTCTTAGGAGAACAGTTCATCAAATATATGGATGCATTTAAGCCGTACTTACTGGTAGCTCTGAAAAACCATGCAGAATATCAAGTAAGAGCTATTTATATTCAAGTATCTATTTAAGTTACAAATATATAATTCTTTGTAAAGTATTGGGTAGTCTTTTTTTTCCATGAATAATGTACATGAGCATGGCAATTTGTCTTTATAAGAATTTTTTTCAAAAGGAAAGGATAAATGACTTTTGAAAAACTGGATGATTATTGTATATTGGAAATGTGGTAGGAAAATAAAGATTATTCAACTTACAGGGTGTACAGAAACTTTCCGCATGTATTTGATGGTGTTTGACAGTTCTCTTTCTCTGTTCCTTGTAGGTGTGTCTGGCAGCAGTTGGCCTTACAGGAGATATATGCAGAGCTTTAGGAAACAACGTCCTGGCATATTGCGATGAGCTGATGACTGTACTATTGGAAAACTTAGGGGTAAGAGGTTCTGGGTGTTTCATTAACTGGTTTTGGTAATCTGCAACATTTACTCTGTCCCCATGGCTACTGTGAACTATAAATCTAAAAAACGTCGTGTTTCAAGTAAGTCATCTAAAAAGGAATTGTCTTTTTAAATAACAAGATATTATGATAGTAAAGGTAACTTTGTTCTCTGGTTTTTCCTACAGGATACAAGTGTTCATAGGTCCGTGAAGCCTCAGATATTGTCCGTGTTTGGGGACATAGCTCTAGCCATTGGGCCGGAGTTCAAGAAGTACCTGGATGTAGCTCTCGGCACACTGAAACAGGCCTCAGAAGCACAAGTAGACAAGGTAAGAAAGCACAGACTATAGCTTCTTTAATTGCTATTAGATAATTTGTCACTTTGACAGCCTATAAAGAGTTGGATAAATGCAACAACATAGTTACACAATCAGATAAAATTACTAATTGATAAGTATAGGGATATTGATAGATTTTAAGAACCAAAATGAAGTTCCATCATATAAAATATAAATTGAATAACTTAAAAATTTAAAAGTTCTGCAGTCACTTTTGAAGCTTGTCTAAAATGTACTTTCCTAATTTTATGGCCTGATTTAAGACTCGAAAGATCTGCTATATTTAATAGGCATATTACAGAGGAACAAAGCTAAGATTTGGGGTTACTCCATGCATATATCCTTTAAATGCCAGAATAATCAGTCTACTCAAGACAGCATGCTGTATGCATGGGAGTCCAACCCCCTTGTACTTAGTAAGAAATACCAAGTGCTATCTCTGCACCGTGTGTGTATATTTTCCAGACTGACTATGACATGATAGACTATCTGAATGAGCTGAGGGAGGGATGTCTGGAGGCCTACACTGGAATAGTGCAGGGGTTGAAAGGTGACGGAGAACAGCCTAATCGTAAGTACCTCACAGTACCTATACTCTAGACCAGTCTATGGTTCCTCTCAAACCTAGTTCTGCATGTGACATTGAATTTTGCAGGGTTGAGATTTCCCCCCGGATTTCTGACTTTGGGAGCCAAAAGTGTCATTGGCTTAAGCGGACCCCTGGACCCAACGCCATATTTTCCGATTTTTTTCACTTAATGGCAATCTCATCCCTGGTTTTATTAGACAACTTTGAGTGTTTAAGATATCCTTTCTCAGCATTAAAAATATCTATATTTTCACAAATTCAGTAGGTTATTATCTGTAAATTTATCATTAAAAATTCTGTTCCAGCTGATGTGAATTTAGTTCAGCCACACGTGCCTCACATGATCTCCTTCATAGAGCACATATTCCAAGACGAAGACCACACTGACGGCAACATTGCAGCAAGCAGTGGATTGGTCGGGTAAATATGCAGAATTACAAATATTTAGAACATGCATGATGATGAACAAATACACCATTTATTTATATTGCAGAATTACAAATATTTAGAACATGCATGATGATTAACAAATACACCATTTATTTATATTCTTGGGTTATGTTATAGTGTTTTAGTTGTATATTCAGTGTTATGGCATTACTAAACTTGAATAGCAAGAGCTGTCAGTGGTAACTTCAGGTGATTGTTACTTTTGGCATGTGCTTGGTCTTCTTGGGCGTCCTGTTGTTCATACATCCTTTTGATAAATGCCGAGGGCCAGTGAACAGCTTTAAGATTATATTTGGAGGAATGTTGGTAACTTGATATGAAAAATGCCCATTTGAGCCATTTCATAGATGGGAGTTCCTAATTGCTGTGTTCTGTTCCAGTGATCTGGTTTGTGCCTATGGTGAGGCCATCCTACCTCTGGTGGACAAGGGTGCCATCACCAACCTGCTGACCAAGGGGCGCAGGTCCAAGACCAACAAAACCAAGGCTCTGTCCACCTGGGCCACAAAGGAAATACGAAAACTCAAAAATACATCGTCTTGGTAAGTCCTTTACTTCATGTGGAGCACTTTACGGTGACTTATGAAATATTGAGGTTAAGAAATAGTGGTTAATCTCTAGGTGATGAGTTTGAAGAAATAAGATTTTTTTTTTTTTTGATTAGTCGGGTTAATCATTAGCTTATAGGCATGTCATTTGTGTGTTTGATGGCATGAATGATCTAGCTGTGAGTCATGTAATTTGAAATTTTCTAGTTGCCTAGTTTACAGTCTGTTTCTGAAAACTTGACAAAAAGTGTTTTCTGTTTTACAATAAATGCCGATAGGTTATTGCATACAGTACTGGTTTAAAAGAAAAATGTTTGATTTTCAGAGAACAACATTTGATGCATTGGACAAACTGAAGATGAGCCCAAGGAGAGAGGAGTTTCGTGGCTCAACGAATGCGAGGTGTGTGCGTGAGTGTATGCATGGTGCCTCATACATCATTCTGATCATGATGAGAGTTGACAAGACAAGACAAGCAGTCTGCTGCTGCTGCTTCATTTGTCCTGGAAATAAAAGAGGGCACATATGGTTATATAACATTAAAACCCACCCTTACCTCCAGCACCAGAGCCGAGGTGATGGAACATACTGGATGCTGATTGTTATCATGCCAGACTCTAATACACACGGACCTGGGTATGACGTCATCGTAATAACAGTTTTTAAAAAACTTGTTATGAGTTTTCAACCAGAAGCATCATCTGTGAGTGAATGAATGAGAGTGATCGATCACGCTGTATGCAGAGAGAGTGGTGGTAGTCTCTCTGTCTGAGGATTCTGTTCAACATATAATATTGAGAATCTCACTGTGGAGAAGTGGAGGTGAATGATATCATTGAACTTTGTAATCAGTCGAGTGTGCTGCCTAGTAGACCCTGGGTAGTTTTTGGGACAGTTTAATCAAACAGATAATGATAATATTGAATTGAGATCTTTGGTTTGGGAGGATTTAGGGGATACTCTGATCATGAGCACCAAATATTTTATTCTGACCAATGGACCTGAAAGTGCACCTAGAGTTTGGTTAGCATATAAAATTCCACCCATGGCTGGAAGTATTTGGGCAACATTTGCCTCTATATAATTAAACAACACATGACTTTTTGCCATCTTAAACCCAAAATCCAAAACGGTGTGTCATATTCAGATATATGACTAGTGTCAAAAGAAATTTATCTCAGAAAAACTTATGGCAAGATGAGCTCATTCTGCTTCACAGATACTGCTACCTCTACGTAATAATGGTTAATGGCCACCTCGTCCACTGGTCACAGAATCGTAGGAATCGTCCGAGATAGCCCAATGGTTCTTATAACATAGCATGAAATTGGGTAAGATTTCATTGGATTTAGAGAAGTAGGATCAGAGATGACTCGGACAAGCAACTGCAGCGTGGGAAAAAATGTATTCAAGGATTTTTTTCCGGTTGAATTACGTTGCTTACCAAGGTGACATTCCAGCGCATAGTGTTTCCAAGTTATCGCTGAGAAGGTCTGCCCCACTACATGCAGTGTCTTGCAGGATTTCCATTGGTTGTCTCAGTAGAGAGGTGACTAGTTCCATGGTATTATTTCCTCCCGCATCCCCCCCACAGTGGTCACGGGGCTATAGAGATCATACGGATCTGGACCCATTGATGAGTGAATGCATGAATGTCCCCCATTCTTCATAGAACATGTGAGAATGTTGTTAGTGTAACTTGGTACGATCATCTGTTCTGTCAAATGTATAAGTTTACTTTATTTGTATGTTATGTGTATGTTATGTATAGGTTTCCTCATGGATGGGACTGTAGTATATTAAATGAACCTATCTTGAACTTGATACACTTACATCTCTTTATTCTCTTTTTGTGTAAAATACTGTAAATCGCTTGTTATGCAGGTGAGGCTACCAAAAATCTTGCTTGATCTTCAGTAAAACTTGTCACAAACTTGGAGAATATTTAAGTTGGCATAAAGATTGTCATTTCCTCTCTCCATGACTGGCATGAATTAAAGCAATTTGATTGTCTCTTGAATGCTTTGGCTGTTTATGCATTTCCCCCCGAGACGGTAGCCACCATAAATAGCAATTTTCTTGTTATTAGTTTGAAAGTGCATCATATTTATTGATATTTTACAATTGACAGACATACTGCACTTATTTTCATATTAAGGTAATATGTTCACAACATTGTCAAATAACACTGGCTTCAAATTGCAGTGTAACATGAAAAACAATGCTATCCTTAAAGTGTTACAGTGTAGTTTTACTACCAATTCTGAGTCTGATTTTGCCATTGAATCGGAACATTTGATGATACTGTTGTGATTCTAAAATTTCAAGTTCTCAGGTCCTGATACGTTGTGTAAGCTAGTTAAAAGGACCATTAAGATGGTTTCCATAGAAACCAATTCTAGAGGTTGAATTAATAGCAGTGAATACTTTCCCTGTCTGCAGGCCAGATAATTTGCTACTTGGAAGTTTTTCTTGGTTCATTTCAGAACATTGCATATTCTGTTTCTCCAGTTACTCGGTTTACACAATGCAGTAGAGTAATTTGCCAAATGCATTAAAACTGTAAATTGCCTCAGTTTGTTTTCCTGCAGATTCTGATTTGTCAAAATATTTGAATAAACTATGTTATGCAGATGCTTTAATCGGATTGGAGTTCTTTTTTAAGCGTATGCACTGCTTTGAAAGTGTGTTTGACTTTGTTAAGACTATTTACTTGCAATGCAACACTCCAATCAACAGCTGGGAAAATTTTCTAACGAAGACATCAGAATCCAGTCTTGCCTGACAAGTTTAAAATAAAACCAAAATGAAATTAAACTAACTTAGTGAAAAAATGTATCTTCTGATAAACAAACACATCACTTCAAATGATCTTTCAAATTCTAAAAATGACTGAAAAAGGAAAATGTACACTTTTGGAAAATCTTGTCTGAGAACTGCAAAGGAACTGGTACATTTTAGTTTTCTTTAAACTCTAGGTCCATAATAAGGACATCTTGTTCCAACAAGCCCATAGTTGCCAAGTGCTATTACAGATTGTAAGAAAACATGTCAGTTTTAAAAACTTGATGAATGTAGTTCAATATCCAGTAGTTTGTCACGCTGCTTTCATGTTGTCTTTGAAATTGATCCTTTTTGTCTTGAAGATTGCTGACATACTTCAAAATTCCTTCTTGATATCTGAAAAATAAATACCACGTAATTATAATGAAATTTCAAAAAATTAAGAATCCAAATATATGTACAGGAATTCAAAAATGCTAATCTTTATAATTGTCTGAAACCTCCACTTGAGAAGACTAATTTCACTCCATTTTACATGTTTTCATATCACTTTCATCTTAAAAAAGCATAAAACTTGGAACTAATAGTACCTGAGACAGAAACTGCTCATTTACAAAAAGTCCAAAAAAATAAGAAGCTTAAATCTGCAAATTCTTGACTTGCTTGGCCGCTCCAGAAACTTACCACTTTGCTCTATAAGCTTGCCTTTCCAAGACCCCGCCAGCTTGTGAACAAATTTGTCAAATATTTCTGCATATTCTTTCAGGCTGGTTCTTTTATAGTCTAAAAGAAAACATCAATATTTCATTAAAAAAGAGAGAGAGAGAAATAAAGTAAAAAATCCAAGCTGGTGTTTTACATCAAAAAGTTGCTAAAACTGTTCATCTTAAAAAACTCTTTGCAGGATTTTCCTAAGGACAAAATAATTTTCTTCTTTTCATGGATCTTTTGCTCAACTCTCATTTGCACCATTTTAAATTTAAGAACTAAGATTTTAACAAGCAATTATTCATTTAGACCACCATATCTACTGACATTTCAGAGGGAAATATCTCAATTAAAGTGCTTTATCACTTTTAAGATATGAATTGGGAAAGATAAGTAGCCTTGCACGATAGTTAGACACAAATGTGCCTTTGGAAGAAACTTTTATGAAAAACTTCTGTATTATTTCTANCTTGTCCTTGACCTCCTCTTGAACGTAACAGGATTACATAGACAAAGAAATCACTGAACTGTGTCAATCAGGTAGGCGTAAATGAACAGATGACACACATTAACGTTGAAGCAGATAAGCTGTGTAGCTCATATGAGAAAAAAACTTTGGAAGTAAAGAGCACGTGAAAATGAGCCGAAAGAGAGCGGAGAATGTTTCTGCTGAAGAGAAGGGATACATCTCAGAACAAATAAAGGAGAAGTCCAACATCATTGAATCAAAGAAAGCTCCGGTGAAATGTTGCGATTTCTCAATATATAGGGTGCTAATCGATCCTCTATCAGTGCTATGACCTCACGTGCTATTTCTTTAGAAATTCTCAACCTGATTTTGAAATCTTTTTCATCATAGAAATCAAAATAATTAACCCTTGCTCGAAAAATGCGTCGGCGACGCTTCCAAATCGTTAAGTGCTCGAATATCACGCAAGTCTACGTCAGCCATTTTTTTTCCAAGCTACAGAGTTAAACCTGGGTCTGACCAGGTTTATTTTTAGACTTGGTCCGAGTCCATAATCCGGGTATCAAAAACTTAGACCTCAATTATGAAACACAAACCTGTCTAGACCAGGTTTAGAATGATGTTAAGCAAGGTTTTACTAGACCACTGGTCCAATACTAAAACCTCCTTTGTGAAATGCAGGCAATTCCTAAACCTGGTGTAAACTCACTTTAGACCAGGTTTAACTTTAAACCTCCTTTATGAAATCGGCCGCGAAATTGTAACTTCTGAAGATACCGAAGATAAACCTTCTGAAGACACCGAAGATAAACCTGCTGAAGACAACAATTGCCTCAAAACTGCTTGGCAATGGTTTAAGAATTTTTTTGAAGGAGAACCCACTAAAGAAATCAACTATACTGTGCAGGTAAGTAATTTTGTCGAACTTAAAATATTTCCCCATTGAAGCAATAGACTTGTCTTTTATTCGAATTTATTCAACGATTTCTACACTTAAAACGGTTCATATTGACCCATTTTGTAACTTAGTTGACTCACTGATAGCATGGCAGAAAGCTGACTGTGATGCAATATATACCCAATGGTCTCTCTATCCACCCCCAGTAGCCCTTTGCACTGTGTCAATTGCACTTGTTGCACACACCAGTACTCATAACACACACACACACGCACACAAAAAGCACCCACGTGCGATGCAAGGTCTACAAGGATGGATAGTGTAAAATTATTGTACAATGTATTTTAGCACTGTTTCTCAGTTAGATATACATGTACATGTCACATTGGTACGGGATAAAAATTCTTGCAAAATTCCCTTTATTTGTTTCTACTGCACCAAGGCTTACATAAAGACGTGTACTGAATAGTACCATTGTTCTTATAACATTTTTTTTTTTTTTTTTTACTTTTAGAAGAAAGTTAGAGAAATCAACAAAACTACTCTGTGACATTTAATTGTGAAGTGGGTTGGAAATGAGGGTACAGTAGATACCTACGAATCACAGGGATTAAGAGAACTTCTACAGCATGCAATTTCCTCCCTGGAAAAGCAACCAAAAGAAGTTTGGACTAACTCTGAGCTGGTGATATACGACAAAGAGGGGAGGGTGTTTAGTGTTTATTCTGGTGATGCAACAAATAAGTTTCTCTTGTCACACAACGGGAGAAATGAACCACAGTTAAAGCCAGTAAAGGAGTTTTTCTGAGGAAAATCAAAACACTGTATTTTTGTGAAGTTAATTATAAACAAATGCACTGTTGTTAATGAAAATTAAAAGAAAAGTTTTCCTTTGGCAAATTCAATCATTTTATGAATATTCTATGTTTGCAGAGACATCGACCTGAACACTGCTGCACAAATGACTCGTGAGTCTAGTCTGTTTTGGATGAAGCAGAGCACCTGAATCATTTGAAAACATAAAGTAGCTAACAAGGGCAATAATTTTCCTGTTTGATTTTGTTGCACCTTGTGACTTATTGTTTCATTATCAGGAAAAAATAAGTCTTGACTTTTAATTGTCTTGGGTTGTTGCAAACAGTAAATTTAGATGTTATTTGATAAGTTATTAAGCTCCAACGTCTTCTATGTCAATAACCCTTGCCTTTTGTTTTAGGTTGTTTTAAACAATAACGTTAGGTATTATTATTTCGTTATCAGGGCAAAGTACACCTCCTTTGTCAATAATGCTTGGCTTTTAATTGTCTTGGGTTCTTTAAAACAATAACATTAGATATTAATAAAGTTATGCGCCATTTTCGTCGCAGAATGTATTGCCACAGAGGACTGTAACTTAATGTTAACTTTGCTTGAACTATGCCATAACTATGATTGAATACGCCAATTGATTCTACGCCAGACGTAATCCTCATTGGTCAAAAGAAAGTTTATCAATGAAAGTTATTAAAAGGTTTTCGTAATCATGCAACGCACTGTCGGTGTTACTGATTTTATGTACAGACACATCGTGTATGTGCACATAGTCATCACCCGCGTCTGTCGTCTTTGACGTCGTCAGTTATAACACGATAAGTGAAAACTGTTTACTTTTTGTTTTCAAACTTGGAAAACTGGTGGATATTCGTGAAAAAGGGGTCAAGTTCAAAAATCGGAATGATCCGACCTTTTAATCAAAAGTTATGCAGTTTTTTTTCAGCACGTAGGCTACATAATACCGACAAAACATTTCAAGGAAAAACAGTAAGCCTATTGTTCTCAAACTTACAGAAGAAATCAATGTTTCTAAAATATAAGATGTTAGACTTAAAGTCATCGTTCATCTACGTGAGTGTGGAATCAGTCGGTGCATTATTATGGAAGAAGCAGCCGTAAATGCTTAAGACCTTTTTTGTAGAGCTTATACTGGTAAAGCGCAATACTGGAAGTGGAATTTGTTTTCCATAGGGCCTACAGTTTACGAGTTGCGCTATATCAAAAAGTACAACGTCGCAATATTCAGTGGTGAAAATAAAATGTGAAATACTCCAAAATTAGCAGAGATACGCCCATAGTTGCTATTGAACTAGGAAATAGCAAATCATGTACTGGGAATCTAAATAGCTTTAGACCTACTTTATACCATGAACTAAACTTTGCAAAATTTCCACCCCTTAAATCTCCAAAACTAGCAGAGATCTACCCAAAGTTACTACTGAACTTGAATAGAAACTAATATATTGACAGTCGTCCTGTGACCTTGAATATGACCTTTGACCTTTTTATCACCATGAACCGCACTTAGCTCTTATATTCACTATTTAACTGAAATGGGACGACCTGTATTCACAATCTTAATGCAACCATGGTTTTGACCTTTTACTTTTCCCCATGATTTTGTTATGAATTGAATTTAACAAAAAAAATGAGAACTTGTTTACTGCATTGTGTTTGTAAAGACCTAACGTGTATCTTCAGCGGTGACGGAGCTGGGCTTCCATTGGATTTGACGTTTTTACTTTTCCCCATGATTTTTTTATCAATTATAATTTTCAGTTAAACATTGGAAACTCTTGTTTACTGCAATTTGTGGAGCTTATCAAGCACATCACTTTCCGCCCTACAGATACTAAAGAGTCCCATGTGTTATACAGCACATTTTTCTTGTTTTCACGAGGAAGCAATTCAATTTTGATCCAAACTCACACAGGGTCACTTTAAAAAAATCATTTAATTTGCTGGCCAGTGTGAGTTCTCCTTTAAACCTCTAGATCGTATTTCTCACCTGCGACCCTCGCCCTGTCACCTTACGGCAAAATAGTTGTATAATTTGAATAATTCTACAACTTATAGTAGCTAACGAGTGCAATATTTTTCTTGCCTAAGGTCCCTATTTCACACAGACCACGAATCCCACGAATCGCCAGGAATTGACAAATTTCAAGATTCATGAGAATCCGTTAGATTTTGCCAATTTTCTGGTCTAATTCGACACGCTCACGATTCAGTTACGATACAGGTTCGATAGTGTTACGAATATCCGTGGGATTTGGCTGGAATCGTGAGATTTTGCCAATTTTCTGTTCTAATTCGACACGCTCTACGATTCAGCTACGATACAGGTACGATAGAGTTACGAATATTCGTGGGATTTGGCTGGAATCGTGAGATTTTGCCAATTTTCTGTTCTAATTCGACACGCTCTACGATTCAGTTACGATACAGGTGTTACGAATATTTGTAGGATTCGGTTGGAGTCGCACAAATATTGTCCAGGAATTCACTACAATTTTTTGGAATCGGGAGTTCGTGGCCAAAACTTTGAACAGCTCAACATTTTTGCCACGAATTCCCGATTGATCAAGAATTGCAAGAACTGACTACGATTATATACGAATCTGTTAAGAGCTTCACGAACTGATTACGATTCAACCACGAATCCTGAAATGTTCAATTCCTAGCGATTCGTGGGATTCGTGGTCTGTGTGAAATAGGGGCATCAAAGTTTTTCCACCAATTCTTGTTGGTCAAGAAGTGCAAGAACTGACTACGAATATATTCGAATCAGTTAAGAACTTCACGAACTGATCACAGGAGTCGAGCATGTCTTGGATGAAACACATCACGTGATTCATGTAGCTAACAAGGGCATTATTTTCCTGTTGAAT